GTCTTGTTCTTCGCTTATTGGAGCTTTAAGATTGAAAAACTCTTGCAGAATTGTTTCGCTTATTAGGGCGTTAGGAAGGAAAACCTCTTGCAGAATTGTTTCGCTTATTGGGGCGTTAGGAAGGAAAATCTCTTGCAGAATTGATTGGCCAAGGGTTTAGGCCCTAAATCTCGGGCCGAGGGTTTAGGCCCTAAATCTCGGGCCAAGGGTTTAGGCCCTAAATCTCGGGCCAAGGGTTTAGGCCCTAAATCTCGGGGCAAGGGTTTAGGCCCTAAATCTCGGGCCAAGGGTTTAGGCCCTAAATCTCGGGCCAAGGGTTTAGGCCCTAAATCTCGGGCCAAGGGTTTAGGCCCTAAATCTCGGGCCAAGGGTTTAGGCCCTAAATCTCGGGCCAAGGGTTTAGGCCCTAAATCTCGGGCCAAGGGTTTAGGCCCTAAATCTCGGGCCAAGGGTTTAGGCCCTAAATCTCGGGCCAAGGGTTTAGGCCCTAAATCTCGGGCCAAGGGTTTAGGCCCTAAATCTCGGGCCAAGGGTTTAGGCCCTAAATCTCGGGCCAAGGGTTTAGGCCCTAAATCTCGGGCCAAGGGTTTAGGCCCTAAATCTCGGGCCAAGGGTTTAGGCCCTAAATCTCGGGCCAAGGGTTTAGGCCCTAAATCTCGGGCCAAGGGTTTAGGCCCTAAATCTCGGGCCAAGGGTTTAGGCCCTAAATCTCGGGCCAAGGGTTTAGGCCCTAAATCTCGGGCCAAGGGTTTAGGCCCTAAATCTCGGGCCAAGGGTTTAGGCCCTAAATCTCGGGCCAAGGGTTTAGGCCCTAAATCTCGGGCCAAGGGTTTAGGCCCTAAATCTCGGGCCAAGGGTTTGGCCACGAAGATTGATGATGCGGCCACGAAGATTGATGATGCGGCCACGAAGATTGATGATGCGGCCACGAAGATTGATGATGCGGCCACGAAGATTGATGAAAAAACCGCCCTAAATCTCGGACGAACGGTTTAGGGCCCTAAACCCTTCGCCCTAAATCTCGGACGAACGGTCCCTAAATCTGGGGGTACGGTTTAGGGCCGCCCTAAATCTCGGACGAACGGTTTAGGGCCACGAAGATTGATGATGCGGCCACGAAGATTGATGAAGTTGATCAGCTGAAAACGTCAGGCGGCCACGAAGCCATTAAGGTTTAAATTACTATAGGTAGAGAGGTTTAGGGTTTAGGGTTTAGGGTTTAGGGTTTAGGGTTTAGGGTTTAGGGTTCAGCTTCTCTGACTTTGGAAATTTCAAGTCAAGCTATTTCAAGTCAAAACCCCACCCGCCCATAGGTTCCCCTCACATTATGAAATAACAATCTTTATTTTATATTCGGATAGAACACGATTCTTCTTAGGAACTTCTTTTAATAATACTTTTTATTTTGCATACTATCTCGCCTTTGTGCATATGTTTTTTTGTTAACAATGGACACAACTTCTTCCTAGCTTATAGAATCATAGCACACATGGCCGCAAGATACTACAAAAACAAAAAGAAAACATCAAACTATGCTGCAGGAAACTTCGTTAATTAATGAGTCTTTATATTCCTTGCTATCCTCGTCTTGTTCTTCGCTTATTGGAGCTTTAAGATTGAAAAACTCTTGCAGAATTGTTTCGCTTATTGGGGCGTTAGGAAGGAAAACCTCTTGTAGAATTGTTTCGCTTATTGGGGCGTTAGGAAGGAAAACCTCTTGCAGAATTGTTTCGCTTATTAGGGCGTTAGGAAGGAAAACCTCTTGCAGAATTGTTTCGCTTATTGGGGCGTTAGGAAGGAAAATCTCTTGCAGGAAAATTAGGCCCTAAATCTCGGGCCAAGGGTTTAGGCCCTAAATCTCGGGCCAAGGGTTTAGGCCCTAAATCTCGGGCCAAGGGTTTAGGCCCTAAATCTCGGGCCAAGGGTTTAGGCCCTAAATCTCGGGCCAAGGGTTTAGGCCCTAAATCTCGGGCCAAGGGTTTAGGCCCTAAATCTCGGGCCAAGGGTTTAGGCCCTAAATCTCGGGCCAAGGGTTTAGGCCCTAAATCTCGGGCCAAGGGTTTAGGCCCTAAATCTCGGGCCAAGGGTTTAGGCCCTAAATCTCGGGCCAAGGGTTTAGGCCCTAAATCTCGGGCCAAGGGTTTAGGCCCTAAATCTCGGGCCAAGGGTTTAGGCCCTAAATCTCGCGCCAAGGGTTTAGGCCCTAAATCTCGGGCCAAGGGTTTAGGCCCTAAATCTCGGGCCAAGGGTTAGGCCCTAAATCTCGGGCCAAGGGTTTAGGCCCTAAATCTCGGGCCAAGGGTTTAGGCCCTAAATCTCGGGCCAAGGGTTTAGGCCCTAAATCTCGGGCCAAGGGTTTAGGCCCTAAATCTCGGGCCAAGGGTTTGGCCACGAAGATTGATGATGCGGCCACGAAGATTGATGATGCGGCCACGAAGATTGATGATGCGGCCACGAAGATTGATGATGCGGCCACGAAGATTGATGAAAAAACCGCCCTAAATCTCGGACGAACGGTTTAGGGCCCTAAACCCTTCGCCCTAAATCTCGGACGAACGGTCCCTAAATCTGGGGGTACGGTTTAGGGCCGCCCTAAATCTCGGACGAACGGTTTAGGGCCACGAAGATTGATGATGCGGCCACGAAGATTGATGAAGTTGATCAGCTGAAAACGTCAGGCGGCCACGAAGCCATTAAGGTTTAAATTACTATAGGTAGAGAGGTTTAGGGTTTAGGGTTTAGGGTTTAGGGTTTAGGGTTTAGGGTTTAGGGTTTAGGGTTTGCCGTAGAATGGCGCCTAAGCGGGAGTAGCTTGCGACAGTGTAATTTCGAGTGCATCGTCCTCAAGCGATTCAACGTTTGAGCCTGATTGTGGTTGGCTCTTTTTATTCACTCTCCCACCCCACGCCGTCTAAGGCGGCCAAACCACCCAAACCTATTCCTTTTAGGGTTTAGCACCTAAACTCAGTCTACGGTTTTCTTTTTCTTCAACCTCAGGCGGGGCAAAGCAGGGCAGGGCCAGGTAGGTGAGGGGGCCAGGGAGGCCAGAGAGCCAAGTGGTCAAGGCCAGAGGGGGGAGGGGGGGTGAGGGGGGGCCGGGGGGGGCCAGGGGGGGCCAGAGGGGGCCAGGGGGGGCCAGGGGGGCCAGGGGGGGCCAGGGGGGGCCAGGGGGGGCCAGGGTTGGGTAGGGCTGGGGGGCCAAAAAGCCGAAAAGGCAAAAAAACAGTTTTTGTCCAAAGTCACAGCTAGGACCGGCCTGGAGGCACCTAGGTCCTTGAACTCTGCTCGCTGCAGGCCCAGGCCCCCCCTGGGGGGTCCCTTTTTGGAGGGGGGCCCAAATGGGAAAGCACCTCCAGAGCGAAGGGGTTGGGGTTTAGGGTATTTACTTTAATAGGGACCAGTACTGGTCCCGAGGAGAACCTGCTCCGGTACCGGGCTTGACGTGGGTGCTACCGTCCCCATGGCTGTGGAGAGGCGGGCAGGCGTCTTGGTTCGCTCTGCGCCATCGAGGTCGAGGGGCTTCAGCGCCGCCCACTCACAGTAGGTGGGCGGCCTATGCCTTGAGTTTAGGGTTTAGGGTTTAGGGTTTAGGGTTTAGGGTTTAGGGTTTAGGGTTTAGGGTTTAGGGTTTAGGGTTTGCCAGCTTCTGTTTTGCACACTTCAGAAAATCGCGAGATTCGAGCCTGGGATTCGGGAAGTTTAGGGTTTAGGGGGAAGGCACTAAGGTTTTTTGTGTTGCGCTCACAGCAAACCACGCACCTAAGTGAAACATGTAGTTTACACCTTGTCTGCTCCAACAACCTGCGCAAACCAGGCCCGCCCTCCCGGATGAAATTTACTATCCAGAACCCTAAGGCGCTACGTGACGACACATTTCTCGGGCCACGAACGGTGACTGGGTTTCTCACCATAGCTGGCCAGGAGATGGGGGCCGGCACAACGGGGCGCACGATGCCTGGCAATTTCGATTTAGTATTTACAGGGTCTTGGTCGTGTGTTGACTACCCATAGGCCCCATAATAGTAGTTCCTTTATGGGATTACAAAGGAACCCAAACGAAGAACTACAACGAAGACTATAGGTAGGCTCAGGATTCCAAAAGGCAGAAAACGAAAGTATTCCAGCCCGATGTTTAAGTGCGAGGAAAGTCTGGAATCTAATGGAGAAACGTCGCCTATCAAGCTTAGGGTTTAGGTTTAGGGAGCCCAAGCCGCAAAACCCAAAGTAAACCCTAAACACTTCATGGTATCTCAGTTTCTTGTTCTGGGTTCCCAACGAGCCAAACCAATAAGTATTTCCAAAGAAGTGTACTCCATTCCATGGAGGTCGTGGGGTGTAGGGTTACACTCGGAGTATGTGAGCAAGGTTCGGCCTTGAAAGAAAACAGTCAGGTACAGACATTAATAGGGTGAAAACAAGCACTGGGGAGCCGCTGTGTCAAGCTCGCTCGTCACGTCTCGAAAAGAACGACACTGAGCAAACTTACTCTACTGCAATTTTCTTACTTGCACCAAGTTGGGCCGGTATTGACATTCTGGATCGCCGTAAGTAAGAGACCTGTCTTCAGAAGACTCCGACAATCTGCGACTGTAGCCATCATACATCTCTTCGATTCATGCATATCGTGAACCACGGCATGTGACGATACAGAACGACATTCATAAAGATGAAGACAGGTTAAGACCGTGATTTCTATGCAAGCACATAGCTTAATGGAAGTAAGCCCATGAGTGAGTGTAACAGAACGTGAAGAATTACCCACCATGTTTTTTTGCCCCACTACTGTATACTTGAGCTTTTCACACGCGCAAAGCCGCTGCGGCACGAGGGCGGCAGGCAGAAAATGTCAGACCACAGGACATCGAATCAGGGCCTATAATCAGGGTAGCTACCATGAGATGATATGGCGAAACCTGATGGCACAGAAGATTGTATACATACATATATATATATATACATACACATAGTTATGTGTAGCAGACGTCCAGAATTGGGCGACCTTAGCTCGAGCCTGGAACGATGGCACGCAGTCGACGATGGCCGCCGCTGTCCAACCAGTCGTGTCCACCGCTGTACCTGGAGAAAGGGAAAGCAGGAAGCAACAGCAAGGCTGCCCCTACTCTGAACAAATCCGCTTCTCCAAGAGGTACTCTGCGCAGCTACTTGACTGACAAGTTTTTAGGCGAGCATCAGCATCTTTTAGTTGTTCAGCAAGCTCGTTACTGTACTTGCTCGGGCTGCGGAGGACTGCCCGCAGCAACCTGCTGCTAACCTCAACAGCTATCCTAAACTGTTTAACCCTTATCTCATCATCTAATGGTGATGCACGACCTGGCTCGATGCAACCAAGCCACACACGACCGTACTTGATAACACCTTCCTGAGATGCACTCCGACCATCAGTCCAGAGTTCAGGGCTTGGGTTCAGCGGTTTGGGAGTTTCGGAATTGTGGGTCATTGAGCTGGCCTCCGTGCTTTGAAATCGGAATGTCTGCAATGGCTGTGATCTTGGGCAGGTCAGGGTTGGGTGTATATCATGGTTGTTATATTTGTTGCTGCTAATCGGGCGTTTAGGGTTGGGGCATGCGGATTGCATGATTTTCCGTTGCCAAAATTTGAAATTCAGCTCTGGGCCCAAACGTTGACATGCTTGGGATGTCTCATGAATCAAAGCTCTCCAAGCAAAACTTCGTTCTGCTATACTTGAATGAAAGGATGCCCAAAGACGATTGCAGACATAGGGTGCAGAGATTAGAGGATTGTCGAAGCTTAAGGTTCTGGGGTGCAAAGCTTATCTACGTTCCAAATGCTGAACCTGGACGAAAACCGTCTTTGGGATGTGTCAAGCAAAACCTCCGCAGTAACAGTAGCAGAGTAGCAGAGTGGCAGAGTGGCAGAGTGGCAGAGAGGCAGAGTAGCAGAGTAGCAGCGCTAGCAGCAGTAGCAGCACGACTCGCAGTAGCAGTAGCAGCAGTAGCAGCAGCACCACCAGCAGCAGGAGCAGGAGCAGGAGTAGGAGCAGGAGTAGGAGCAGTAGTAGCAGTAGTATAGTAGCTCGGCAACAACAAAAAACTTAACCCTAACTTTCACTGTCCGGGAAACCTCAACCCCTCTCGTCCCAGTTTAGGGTTCCCAATACGCACAAAAACTCATCACATGTTCGGACTAAAACCTCTAAGCCCAAAGCCATCCGAAGCCGAAGCCCCAACCCTAAGCCTGAACCCTACGTTGCAGCCGTGTCTCATACCGGGCTTAATAATTAGACTAGGGTTTTAGGCCCCATTATACTACAAGTATAATAAGGACCCCCCCAAAAAATGATATTGGTAAATATTTAAACTCCTATATTATGAAACCTTACAGCCTAAACCCTAAGCCCTAACTATGCATTCCAGCCGCGTCTCATATCGGTTTTAATAGTTAGACTAGGGTTACCCCCAAAAATACTATTGGTAATTATTGAGGCTCTTATATTATGAAACCCTAAACCCTAAACCCTAACCTTGCCCGCGTTCCGACGGAACCCAAGTCTGGCCGAAGAAGAAGAAAGCCTAACTATGCCTTCCAGCCGTGTCTCATACCAAGTATTCTCTCCATGGCCGGCTGCTCCCACCAAGGGAGCCGGGCCTTCGTCCTCTGCCCAGTGCATGTCGGCCTGACCACTTGCGGCTTGGTTTAGGGTTTAGGGTAAACCCTAAACCCTAACCCGTTTTGCTTTGACTTCAGACAGATTTGATGCAGGTCTTGTGGTGCTATATTGGAGTTTTGTAGTAGAGCTTCATCTAAGGTTTCGTAATAAGGCTTTCAGGGTTGGTTTAGCAAAGGGCCCCTCATGATCATGATTCGAACGTAACTAGAATGAGGAGTTTGGGAGAATTGCTTCTCTTGCCTTACCCCTGAAGAACCTACCTTTTTAAGGAATTATAGAAGGAAATCATAATATGGAACCCTAATAAGGTAGGTTCGTTAGGGTTAAGGTGGGACTACAAAGGGACATCAAGTACCAACTGCTCCGGCTGCATTGCTCGTGTAGAGAGCTGTTGTTGGGACTTACGGATTTCGACTGCTGGCCTTATGCTTCAGTGCCTTTTTATGCTTATAGTATAATGGGTCCCAAAACCCTATGCCCATTATCAAGGCCCCTATGTTAAAACGCGGACAAGGCGGCAGGGGGATTCCAGCGGCTGAGGTATAGGGGCGATGTTTATCGCATCCTTTCTCCGATCCGTGCTTAGCTCTTTGAAAGCCCAGGGTTTCTGATGGGAGGCCAAAAGGGGCGGTTTAAGGTTCTTGGGGTAGGGATTCCTTAACATGGACCCTATTATGGGAACCCTAATCCCTTAGGCTAAAACCCCTTCTGGCCTCCTATGAGTTTAGGGTTTCGGGCAAGTTAAGGGTGTGGGATCTGGCATGCGAGGTTTAGGTTCCCATATAAATAGATAGATGGATATGGGAGCTTCCGAAAAATAGGGAGTACCTGATTTTGGGGTCCCTAGAATAAGGATCCTACTATTCAGGGCACTATATTAGGGTCCCCTATTGTCGGAAACTCCCATATAGATAGATAGACAGCAGAAAGTAGCAGCTCTCTAAAATGGAAGACCTCGCTTAAGGGCGATTGGGAGCTTTGGGAATGCATGCCTACCTGTAGGCAGATACCCTACCGCTTGTTTGGAGTATCTACTTGTCTATACAACAAGTCCTAAGCATAAAAACGATCTCCTGGACAACGGAAGCGAAACATTTCAACGGCAGATACATTGTGTTGCAGGGGCGTTGCGCATAGACGATACATACTGGGAAGTTCCATGTTACGCATTTAACATATACCGCCGAGGATTCAACTGCTCCCCGTAGAACTCAAGCACCCCAAAACAACGTTCTAACTCTAAAGGCCCTCATAAAAAATGTCTAACCCTGTACAAACTCATACAAGAATTAAGAATTCGTTTCAAGAGACCCGTATCTGTTCTACTTACTATGGCCCACGGATCCGCCTCAGGGTGGAATCCGAACATATCGCTTGCCCACAGCTCTTGCTGCCCCTGCCTTCAAGCCATGAGGGGTTCAGAGTTTCGGATTTGGCGCTTGGGGTTTAGGATTTGGGGCTCAGCGCATGCTACGGTTGAAGGTTAAGGGTGAGACCTAAATAGTACATGGGCCGTTCCTGATAGTCTTAGGCTACACAGGGCTTTGGATGCGGGAGTTTCCGAAGATAGGGGATGTAATATAGTACCCTAAATTTTTAAATGGTAGGACCCATAATAACGACCCCAAAATAAGGTATTCCTAATTGTCGGAAACTCCCGTATGATATCCCAGAGTTACATAGGGAATGCACGAGAATGTATCGCTAGTTCTTCAAACTTTGGGGTTTAGGCCCTGTGCCCTATCCCCTGCGCCGCGTCAACAGATTTCGAGCCGGGGGACGGTAGGCGCAGGGCTGTCTACAACCACAACATAGGGGCCCTAATGATTGTAAGAGGGTTTGTGGATATATTATACTATAAATATCTTAAGAAACCCCCCTTCCCCCCACCCCCCACCCCCCCCAAAAAATAGGTAATGATTTACAGGCCCCTTCATTACACTCGAAGCCTCGCCAACCTGAAGGCCAAGCCCAAGGCCCTCAACTCTTTACGCCTGACCTTCATGCTGCACGAAAAAAGACGAAGAAAAAGGGAAACAAAGAATAACCAGGGAAAAAGGAAACGAAAGAAGAGAAGAGAGAAGGAGACACAAAAATTACACAAATGCATCTTTGCCACAGACCACCAAGTGCAGAGTTCAGAAAGCCCTGTCTACACCCCCTAGCCTCGACCTAAGCTCCGCATCCCAACACCCCATCCGCAACTGCAATGACTGCAATGACCGAATTACGTAAGTATTCGCCTATGCCTCCAAGGACCTTACTATGGGGTCTTTAAGGGGTCTAGGGCCCTATAACTATGAGGTCCTTGGAGGGATAGGGTTAGTACGAAACTTATGCAGGCTAGTATCTGGCCGACTATTAGGATGTTATTAGGAACCCCAAAGCGGCTCTCAACCCCGACCCGAATTCCCTAAACCCTAATTATAAATCCTAAGCCCTTCACCGTCTCGCGACGCAGCGCCTGCAAACGCCTACGCCGACCGCCCCCCTGCCCCAAAGTCATGCCAGCCCCGAAGGGGTCCATGTACCCCAATAGGGCTCCTTTAAGGGTACCATAAGGGCTTAGGGTATAGGGTCCATGTACCCAAATTATAGTAGATACTTTGGCCGTAAAGTAGTCCCTATGTAGATTTTGGTGCCAAAGTATATACCATTTGGGTACATGGACCCTTAGGGCAACATCTGAGCTCTGAAAGGCCAGCGTCTCTGTTATCATGACAGCGATACGTGGCAGTAGTATGTCACGCCACTACTGTGACAATCTTTTTTTATTCTGAAATCCTGAAGCTCCTCACCCCGAACACCACAATCCTGAAGCCGGAAACTCTATCCCTCCAAGGACCTCATAGTTAGGGCCCTAGACCCCTAAAGGACCCCACAGTAAGGTCCCTGGAGGCATAGGGGAAACTTTACAATCTTTACAAGCCCTAAACCCTCGGGCCCTAAAACCTCAAAACGTGGGTCTCAAATTCATTTGTTAGCAAGTATAGCCCCAAAAGGACCATGATAAACTAGCATGTCTAATACTCTCTTGGGTTTTATATGGAACTGTAGGAAATAATTCCTGAGGAGACTATAGCTTAGGGTCTAGGGTTTACAGGGTTTAGGGCTTGTACTATCAACCAAGGCAAGGCACGGCATAAACTTATAGTATTCCTTATAGCAACCCTTAAGGAAGTCTTACAGTATCTTATCATAACCCTTACAGAAACCTTATAGTGGCCTTCATAGTTTTCCCCAACGGTCCAAGTACCTGATAATCATATACTCTCCAAATCCTAACCTACGTAACTACTATCCCAAAAATGAGTACCTGATTATTGGGTCCTTTGGAACCCTAAACCCTAAACCCTAAACCCTCTTATAGTGGCCCTTGTAGCAACCCTTTAAACAAGGCAAGGCACGGTCCCCAGCCCTTCTGCCACGCGAAGTGGCCGCGCATGGGCGTGACGTGCGCGTAGTGCTTGGAGGTAATCGGGCCGGATTCCCATCCTCGGGTCACTTTATTTAGGTTTTTTTTTAAGTTGATGTGCACCCTTTCTCCAAAGTAGCTTTGTTTAGGGTTTAGGGTTTGGGATTTCCCATCCTCAGATCTTTTGCCAGGGCTTCAACCCCAAAGTGAAAAACCCTATCCTAAAAATCCAACAGACCGGATGTTAAGATACTTGAAGACTTGATAGTATTCGTGTACGCTCGTATTCGGGAGGATATATGATTACCAAGTGCTTGGACCGTTGTGGGTTTCATGGGGTGCTTTGCACTCACAGCCCAGAGATACGGTCTCTCATGTAGTTTAGGTTCGCTTCGCACAAGTATCACGAGAGGGGAGTGTACAGCACAATATCATACAGTACTGTCTGGTTCTTAGTACCGAATGGGGGCATGGATTACAAGGACTATTATTGGGGATTATATAGGGACTACCATTGGGATCCATTCCCCCCCTCCCTACTAAGCACCAGACAGAATGTCGATGGTCCGATGCTGGTCCGGGACACAAGCAGAGCCACAGCTGAGAGCTACCCCCAAGGTGTCGTCCAAAGGACCCAATAATGAGGTAATTGGGTTTAGGATAGTAGTTGTGCAATGTAGGTTCATATTTGGGAGAGTTTATGATTCTGAGGTACTTGGACCCGTGTGTGCGCCTGTGACAAAGAGACATTAAGGATATTGGGCGTCGAGATTTTTCTTTGGGCCTGCTAGCTGCTAGCATAGGTATAGACGCATAGATGGTCTGGATCGATTCACACGGCTTCTGGGAGTTACCAACTGCTGCTTTAGGACGGCACCGCCAGAGATCGAGAAATCCCGAAATCCAAATCGTCATCGCCCTGAACCCTAAACGTGACGCAAGCCCTGAACCTCAAAGCATTAACCCCCATAACCAAAAAAATCCAGGGTCGACCAGAAGCCTTAAACACACACTTGGATGTTTGCAAAGGACTCCATGTCGAAGCTATTCAACATACCTTCAACTTTTATCTTTCAAACCCCATAATACCTACGACTTTATTGATAGCCATATGCCCCTGTTCAAGCGTAAGAGTTGTCCTCGCGGAAATGTACAGCAGAGCACCTGCTTCCTGTAAGCAGTGCAACCCTACACCTAATAAAACCCTAAACCCCAAAACCTGAACCCTAAGCCACAAATCCGAAACCCTAAACCCCAAACCCCTAAAGCATAAACCTTAGACCCGAACCCCCCAGCTGCCCTTGATTGTGGTCCCTAAGTGAGAAAGATTAGAGCCCTTTTAAGGGTAATTGGGGGGTGCTGGGTGGGTCTAGGGTTTAGGAGAGTTAATATTTAGAATAGGGTTTTGGGGGTTTATAATTCTCTATAACTGAATATAATGAGGAATCCCCAAAGACCTTAGACCCAAACCCTTCCCGAAACCCTCGACCGCAACCTCGAGCTCAAGGGCCTGGGGAGGCTTAGGCATAGATAGGAGCCTTAGTGATTCAAAGAGGGCTCCTTTTAAGGGCTCCTTGTAAAGAGGTTTATAGGGGATCTACAGTAGGGTTCTATGATATAGGAGCCGTTGATGAGCGGAACAGGGGTTTTGGGGGATATTATACTAGAAACTTGTAATAAGGAAGCCCCAGAATAGTATTGGTGCCCCTCCATTAAATTCGGCTCCAATATTGCCTGTTGCCCTTCCGAAAGCCAACAGCGTGCAGCACTTGAAGCTTCTAGCCCTAACCCCAAGCCCCTCATGCAGAGACCTGAAGACGTAGAGATAAGCAAAGCGGAATGTTCGGGTTTGTATACCATCAGTGTATTCTGAAATCCTCAAGAAATGCCACTATACCAATTACTCAAGGCTCCTACTTTGCATGCGAATAGTGAGGTGCTCAACTCATAAAACTCAAATTATAAACCCTAGACCCGGACGCAACATCTGAAGTCGTGCCGAGGTGGCCGTACCACTGGCCAATACGACTCCAAGGAGGTGCACCCGGGTTGGTGACCTTTGCATATACAGGGCTATTGGCTGTGGGCTTTTCTACATTCTCCCTGTAATCTCCCTGGTAGTTCCTTTTCGGGGTTACCTTATAGGATCCTACTTATATGTTTCGTTAAACCGAAAAGAGGAACTACAATTGAGACTATAGGACGTTTCTACAGTGTGCCCTAGACCCCAAAGCCTAATCTCCTAAACCCTAAACCGGTGTAAGGGCATTCCCAATAAAATATGCATATCAGGGCTTCTGGGCGCTAAGGGGGCCTAAAGAAAATTGCGATTCAGGGGTTCGGGGTTTAGGGCCTTTAAGCTTTGCGGCTTCGGCCAGTTCAGTTCCCAGCACGGATTTGGGCTCTCTTCTTAACATCCGGCGCCTCGGGAACAATGTTGTCATGCATGAAGGCTCTCTCGGACATAGGCCAGTAACTTGATGTCCGGAGCCCTGGCCGTCTTTCTTTCCACATGTGTGGCGTGTACGTTGGCATCATGACGCGAAAAACTCCTCACTTGTCTGCAGGCGGAGAAGCGCCAGCGTGCTGAGCTTCAACGGATGTTCTGCGTCTGCAAACTCCCAAAAGGTCCAAAGTGCCTGTATAGTACAATGTAGGGTTTCCATAATAGTATAGTAATTACGATGATGATTTGGGGAAGTATTCCCCATAATTTACCCATGACCTTTTCAATGTAGGGTTTCCAGAATAGTAATTACCACGATGATTTGAGGACGTATCCCCCATAATTGTACCCAGGACCTTTTGGGACTCAACCTCAACTTCGCCCTGCCATGCCGCAAGCACCCACGCTGCTCGTGTTAACCCCCATGGAAGAAGTGGTCAACTCGGTTTGGGGTTTGAGGTTTAGAGTCTAGAGTTGAGGGTTTAGGGTTTAAGGCTTAGGGTTTAGGGTTGAGGGTTTAGGGTTTGAGGTTTAAGGTTTAGGGTTTAGGGTGAAGATGGAGCGCTACATAGCCCACAGGCCCACAGCTAGCTCTTCCCCAAGCAAGGAAACAGCAATAAAGACCCCCACCTAAACCGAAATGACACCGAGTAAGCCTTATATGTACCCTGAACCCCCCAATCCGAAACCTATAGACTCTGTAGACCCTGCACTGCTGCGTCTGAGGAGGGTCCTTTGAGTCAACAGCCTGTTTTTTTCCGTCACCTTGAACAAACCCTCAGGCCGCAAGCCGTAACCCTGAAACCTCGACCCTGAAACGCAGGAGCCCTACAAATCCTGAGCCCTTGCACTCCTTGAGGCTGAACCCAAAATCCTGACTAAGCCCGCAAAAGCTAAACCCCGAACCCGTTGTAGAAAGTACACTTTTAATTTTAGGAGTCCATATCGCAACCACTGTATTCATAGTATCCCAAAGTCACCCGGAACCCGCAAACGCTCAACCTCTGAGAACCTGTCCAGCATACGCTCGCTCATGATGCACTCAACGATGCGGCCCGTCAGCAGAACAGACCTGGTTTGCAGCTAACGGCTTCTGAGGTTGAGGGGTTGGGATTAGAATCAAGGCTCCTGGTTTCGGAAACCCTTCTTTTACGCTGTGAGGAGGTTTCCAGAAACCCATGTGTGAGATCCTGATCTACGTGAGTCTATGTCTGCTTAACACAGGGGTCTTAGTCATTGGATCGGGGCTTTGGGGTATTATACAGTATTACTACAAGAACGTACCCCAAGAAATAGTGGAAACCATGAATGTTTCCGACATCTTAGTAAGCCCTGGACTAGATTATACCGAAAGAGAGGGCTTTCATGACGTTTTCCATGCGCCATCCAGGAACGGAAATGGACTACAAATCTGAAGACTTAAGACAAGACCCGTACCAGGAGACGGTGCTAAGCTCCCAGAAGGACCCAGAAGGAAATTGTGCCACGTTGCCAGCTCACGACGGTCACAAAGAGAAGGACGCGGACATAGTACCTTCAGGGCTGATCAGGACAGCACAAAGCCATTGTCACCCACCACCCCAAGACCACAATATGTCCGAGAGAGCACCAGGAAATGTGCTTGACAGAAAGAGAGAGAGGGGGAGAGAGGGAGAGAGAGAGAGAGAGAGGGAGAGAGAGAGAGAGACAAAGAGAGAGGGAAAGAGAGAGACAGAGAGAAAGAGATGCAGAGAGAGAGAGAGAGAAAGACAGAGAGAGAGAGAGAGAGAGAGACAAAGAGAGAGGGAAAGAGAGAGACAAAGAGAAAGAGATGCAGAGAGAGAGAGAGAGAGAGAAAGACAGAGAGACAGAGAGAGAGAGAGAGAGAGAGTGAGATGTGCTAACCGCAGCAATTAAAAGGCTTGCGAGGAACCAGGGCGTCATGTCCACGTTCACCATGGGATCCTCCTGGATGGCATGCTGATCCTTGCAAGTCTGCGTGGCCCCGGTGGTGGAGCAAATCCGTCAGGATGGTAACGACTCTATATCAATCAAAGGCTTTACTCTGGGTTGGCCTTAATGTCACACCTGTGTGGCTGGCCTTGGATTTTTGTGCGGTTTTCGGGACTGACAGTAGAGGCATCGCAATGTACACCGTGCTTCAGCCTTTGCGCTTCAAGCCTTGAAAAATAGGCCCTTAACACATGATTGCTCAAGCCTGTAGAGGTTGAAAGTAGTTCCTTTTTGGGGTTCATATCTAGAATTCCAGAAGGTAATTCTAGAAAGGGAGCCTTATGGTATGGGCCAGACTGAAAACGCAGCCCCGGTTTTCAATCCACTTTTTCTAGGCCAGGATTCTTGCGCCGGGCTTTGGCGGTTCATGGAGCTTAAGCTTGTGTTTCAAATTTTCGGAGTTTGCGGCTTTTCAGGTTTAAGATGTACAGTGGGAGCCCCTATTCCCCTCAACCCTGAATTCCCTGCAAAAATCCCAGACACTATACACCCTAAACCCTAAACCACCAAAAAGCCAGATGCAGAACTAGAACCCCGGAACTGCCAAGCAGCTCGATCGCGCTGCTCCTGAAGGATCAGGGGCGTAGGGTACTTGGAGGTTCATGGGTGGTTATAAGTAGGGTTCTAAGTAGGGTGACTATACTTGTAACCCATATTTGGGGACTTCTAGCCCCACTTATAACTACCCATGTTTACATCCAAGTATAGGGCTTGCTGCTGCGCTGTCGGGTCACAGGATTTAGAATTGATGCGCTTTGAGGTGTGGGGTTTGATATTGTTTCCAGGCTTGTTCTTAACACTCTTCTTATCACGATGCTACTATTGTTCAAAGCAAACCTAGTCTTATAGGAAACCTTATACTACGCCAGGGCTCCTGCTCCAGCTGGGCCTTTGTCTTTGGCGGTGCAACGAGGTAGGAGACGTGCTGGAAGGCCGCAGGAAGCCTCAAAGTTTGGTGTTCGCTTAGGGGTCCCTAAGGCTCCATGTGCCCATATAGTATATACTTAGGCCTTAAGGTACCCATATAAGGACCCCTCTAAGGCTTAAGTATCTACTATAAAGGTACATGGAGCCTTTGGAAAGGGCTCCGCTAGAGGGGGGCTCCTTCATAAGGTTTTTGCTGGGTGCTGTAGGGTTGAATAGGTTTGTTGTTCTTGGTTTTCTAGCATACCAGCAAGGTCCCCAACAGGGGCCCGAGATTGGAGAACCCTCCGACAGAACTGGTTGAATCCAAAAGTTCCTCTTAAATTTACCAAAAATCATCTCTGAACCCCAACCCTCCCGAACCCCAAACCTGAACCCTAAACCGACTGGCTTGCAACTCTTTCGCAGGAAACTGGCGGTAGCCGGTGGTGGGGATTCCAGGGCTTCCTGTGAAAGCTCCTCCGTGCCCAGTTGGGACGTCGAGGCCTTCGTCATGTAGGGGCCATCATAATTAGAATGGGGTTGTGAGGGTTCCATGTTATGGCATACCCAGAGGCCAAGAGTAGTTCCTTGTTGGGGTTCGTATATAGAATCCTATAAGGTAATCCCAACAAGGAACTACGGGGCCTATGGGTAGTTAGTATATATAGTATAATGTGCCCCCAAACCCTTTGTTAATGATTAAGGCCCCTACAGTACTGTCTGGGTTCACGATTTCTTTCAGGCCTCCAAGACTAGGCACAGTTTTGTGGACCTCCAGGGTTTCAAGATCCCAGTAAAGGGAGATCGTGCAAAATTTCGTTTCCAGGATGTATGGGATTGATTGGTGCCAGGGTTGTACCGGAAGGGAATACGATGCAGCTTAAATTGTTTATTGGCACTGTTGCTTGGACCCTGAACCCTAAACCCTATGTTCAAAACCCCCCAAACCTTCGACCCAAAAACCCCAAAACTCTAAAAATCCGAATCCCTATACCCTAAACCCTAAACCCTAAAAATCCGAATCCCCAAAAGCCAACATCCCACATCCTGAACTGCAGGGATGACTGCGCTCCAACTCTTGGGTTACGTGCTCTGGAGGTCGACTAGCTTTTACGACCCTTCGGATATCTTAAACCGTAATGCCTAAATTATAGGCATTACGGTTTAAGATATCCGAAGGGTTGGGGGCTAAATGATACACACCAAACCGCCAATTGTAGCTAAAGTCCCAAGCAAAGTGCAAACTCCGCCCCACCTGAACCCTAAACCTTACACCCTCAACCCGACCCAAACACCCTAATGTAGGGGCCTTAATTATCAGAATAGGGTTTGGGGGGATGGTATATTATACTATAATTGAAATATGGAGCCTCCAAAACCCTATTAAAAATGATTAAGGCCCCTATATTGTAGTACCCTTATAGCATCCCTTAAAGGAGCCCTGTAAAGGAACCCTATTCTACTTATTAAGGCTCCTAAACTAGCCCCTCGCTCGGGGGACTCGAAGATCAGGGATCGATCCTTCAGACTCCGAGCTCCCCCGAAGGGAGCCTTGCAGTATATTCTTAAGCCTTGAGGTATTCCCTATACAGATATCACATAGTATAGGGCCTATAAGCATAGAAGTATACATTCGTTTTGGGACGGAACCATGAAAGTAACAAAGGGATGGAACCTCACAACCCTAAGCCCCTAAACCCTAAACCCCTAAATCCAAAACCCTGAAAATATTAAAGGGATGGACCATCACAACCCTAAACCCCTACACCCTAAACCCCTAAACCCCAAACCCTGAAAGTAACAAAGGGATGGAGCCTTACAACCCTAAACCCTTAAACCCTAAGCCCCTTAACCCAAAACACCGAAACTAATGAAGAGATGGACCCTTAATTACCACACTCCAGCCTTAAAGTAGTCCCTATACAGGTCTCATAAAGGGCCGGAAGTATATACCAATACAGGGATGGATTAGGTACTGCCCCCATACAGTAAGAGTCTATAACAGCGCTACTATTAAGGTCCAAAGATATATCGATATTGTGGATATTATTCAACTATTACTGAGTGGGGGCCGTACCCAAGGGATGGACCCTTGCTTTCCACAATCGCAGAAGGGTCGCCAGGCCGGACTTTCGCAGGAGGCAGACTGGTTGAAGAGGCGCTCACCGGCCTCCGTCTTGAGGGTTTAGGGTTGAGGGCTTAGAGTTTAAGGATTAGGGTTTAGGTGTAAGGGGTCTAAGGTTTAGGGATTAAATAGGGTTCAGGGGTTTAGGGCTTCAGGATTAGGGTTTAGGGGTTTAGGGTTGTTTTAGGGAGTAGGGTTCAGGGGTTTGGGGCTTAAGGATTACTTAAGTTTTACGGGTTTAGGGATTAGCGTTGTGGGTTGAAGGTTTAGGGCCAGGGTTTGGAGCTTAGGGTTCGCGGATTCAATTCTTGCATCTTTGCGTGGCTTTGGGTGGCTCCCTAAACTCTAATCCCTATATCTAGGAGCCTTATCCCTGAATCCGAGACCCTTTCAGCTTGAACCCTAAACCAGTGTGGAGTGTCGTGCGCTTCGTGTTTTGGAGCTTTCGGGCTTTGGTTCAAAGGCCTACTTAAAGGATCATGGGACTTAGTATATAGGGGTATAATTAGGGTAACTATACTTATAACTACTTATAGCCCCAATTAAGGTACTTATAACCTTACTTACCTATACTGAACTTGGAACCCTAGCAAAAATAACTATTTGAGCTGTTTCTTAGGGGTTATAATGACCAAAAATTAAGAAATATTTCTAACTACGCCTAAATTACTAAGTCCCATGATCCTCCAAGTACGGCCTCCACTTCAAGGAAGGCTTCGGATCTCGGGCTCTGGGTTTCAGCTTACGGTTTTGGGCGTTTGGGGGTTTAGGGTTTAGGGTTTTAGGGTTTTGGGCTTAGGGGTTTAGGGTTTAGGGTTTTAGGGTTTTGGGTTTAGGGGTTTAGGGTTTAGGGTTCAGCAGCTCCGGATCGAGCAGTTCTAAAGTAGAGTTGTATTTACGGTTTAGAAATAACACCCACCCACCCTTAGAATCCCATAACATAAGCCATATAAAATCCTTCATCATCATTCAGAGAGTTCTACTTGCAACCTAGCCTGTCACACTTTAATGTCGCTTTCCCACACCACTAGGAAAATGCAACAGTTCATATTGCTCCCACAGCTGATTTAATTTTTAAGGTTGTCGAGCTTAGACTTACCTTAGATTCTTCCAACCAACTAGGTTTGTTGTATATGTTGCAAGCTATTTATTCATAGTTAGTTGCTAGTCTTGGGCAAGCTAAACCCTAAATTCAGTCGGTGTGCGGCAGGACCTAAACCTCACAGTTATGAAATTGCCAATTAACTACTCTGGAAACATTTGCGGCTGTAGCTGGAGGGGGGCTAGGGTTTGGGCCCTAGGACGTTTTTTTTTTTTTTTTTTGAAAAAGGTGCTAAAAAAAAAACTCTAGGCCCCAAACCCTGGGCCCTAAACCCTAGGAGGCCCAAACCCTAGGCCCTAAACCCTAGGGCCCAAACCCTAGCCCTAAACCCTAGTGCCCAAACCCTAGGCCCTAAACCCTAGGCCCGATAGACCCGAAACCCTACTAGGCCCTAAACCCGAAAGCCTAAGCCCTAAACCCTAGGCCCTAAACCAGGAGTGACCTTAAACGACTAAGGGTTTGACCTTAAACGACTAAGGGTTTGACCTTAAACGACTAAGGGTTTGACCTTAAACCCTTAGTCGTTTAAGGTCAAACCCTTAGTCGTTCAAGGTCAAACCCTTAGTCGTTTAAGGTCAAACCCTTAGTCGTTTAAGGTGAAATCCTTAGTCGTTTAAGGTCAAACCCTTAGTCGTTTAAGGTCTGACCTTAAACGACTAAGGCCTTAGAGCAGGCACACGAAAAGAACGGCCCTGTTTTGCTGCAGAATGTGGCCCCGACCTGACCTTAAACGACTAAGGTATTAGGGTTTAAATTATCATATGAAAGAGAGGTTTAGGGGTTTAGGGTGTTAGGGTTTAGGGTTTTAGGGTTTTAGGGCTTTAGGGTTTAGGGCTTTAGGGTTTTAGGGTTTTGGGTTTAGGGGTTGAGGGTTTAGGGTTTTAGGGTTTTAGGGTTTAGGGGTTGAGGGTTTAGGGTTTTAGGGTTTTAGGGTTTGGGGTTTTAGGGTTTTAGGGTTTTGGGTTTAGGGGTTGAGGGTTTAGGGCTTTAGGGTTTTAGGGTTTTAGGGTTTTAGGGTTTTGGGTTTAGGGGTTTAGGGTTTATAGGGTTTTAGGGTTTAGGGGTTTAGGGTTTAGGATAAGAGCCTACATAAAAAGGTAGTTTAAGGTACAGTAGACCCCATAAAGTTGGAAACCGGACTAAGACCAAAAAGAGCTGGGATTCCCTATACACTAATCTTAAGGATTGAGGCTATTGGGGTTCCAACTTTTGGGCTTCTACTATACAAGTACAAGCTTCGACTAGGATGCCCAATAACCTAGGAATAAAAAGAGCTCCCTTTTCGGTATTGGGTAACTTTAAAAGGAACCTAGGACTACAAAAAGGGCGTACCGGGTACTCCTGGGCATCGTAGCGAATGGCTCGGAGATGATTCCGAGTTCGTAGTGTAAGGTGCAGCGTACGGAGTTTGTTCTTGGAGGTGTTTCTTTGGGATGTCAGGTTTGCAGGCTAACCCTATGCCTCCAGGGACCTTATTATAGGGTCCTTATAAGGGGTCTAGGGCCCTAACTATGAGGTCCTTGGAGGGACAGGGTAAGGGCTTGGGGTTAGGGTTTTAGGGTTGCAGATTCTAGGGAGCGGGATGTGGGACTCAGGATCTTGGGGTCTTAGAATCTGAACCATATCTAAATCCCTCAATCCTAAGCCCTATATATCTGGAGCCCCTAAAGCCTATATCCCTATGCAATTCGCTGCTATAGAAGCCTGCAGGACTACGCAGTCATAGCGTGCTTTTCCTATTCTAACCCTATCCCTCCGAGGACCTCATAGATAAGGCCCTAGACCCCTTCAAGACCCCATAATAAGGTGCCTGGAGGCATAGGGTAAATATTACAAACCCGTAGTCTTCATTGAAGTTCTTGTTTTGGTTTAACCAGGTATATAAGTCAGGATCCTACAAGATAACTCCAGAAGGAAACTACAATGGAGACTATAGCTTAGGCCCCTATACATATATATATATATATATATATATATATATATACCCTAAACCCTAAAAACCCTAAACCCTAAATCCTCTATAGCCTATATCTGTGACTCCAAACCCTACTAAACAGTAGGTTATGACCCCTTAATTAGAGGGTCTGACCCTTAAAACGGTAGGTTTTGGGATCCCCAGAAACCCTAAACCCTAAACCCTAAACCCTAAACCCAAAACCCTAAACCCTAAACCCTAAACCCTAAACCCTAAACCCTAAACCCTAAGACCTCGAGACCTCGAAGCCTCACTCCAGTGGGAAGTGATCCACGGAGCACCGCAAGTGGACCCTATGATCGGTTTGGGGTTTCGGGGTTTAGGAGTTTAGATTTAGGGGTTTAGGTTTTAGGGGTTTAGGCGTTTAGGGTTTAAGTCGGGAGTATGCTCTCTGCAGGAAAATCTTCACAAAGAAGCCTGGTGACGGTCCGCGAGAACAGATCGGTTGTTTGCGCTTCTTGGCAACCGGTTTCTCCAGCTGCTGCTCCTCCTCCTCCGCAATGGCGTCTTGCTCGCGATTGCACAACATCATGAAAATCTGCCCTTTGCCCAATCTGGCCTGGAACTTGTTAAAAAAGGACCAGGGTGGGACGTGACAGCATCCTCAGCGGAGCAAACCCAGCTCACGTTCCCTACATAGGAAGAGCCGACAACGTCGCAGATGTGGCTGCGTGAGGACTGCCCTGGGCCGCGTCAGGAGAGAAGCGACAAAGACAAGGAAACGGGCTTCATCAGAGCCGTTTCCCTCGAATCATGGCAGACAGTGGCAGTCCTTACATATCTTAACGTCCTTCTCAAGGTTTGGCCTCACCCCTCATACATCCTTGGCCCTACCTACAGTCTCCATTGTAGTTGTTTTTTTGCTTTCACCAAATATAACCTGTAAGGTAACCCCCAAACAGGAACTACAATGGTGACTACAGTTACAGTTTCCCCCAAACCCTAAGCCGCCTAAACCCCTAAACCCGAAACCCCTAAACCATAACACCCTAAACCCCAAACCCCTAAACACCTAAATCCTAAAACCCCCTAAATCCTCATATTGATATAGCCCTTAAAGGATCCCCCAGCCCAGGCTATGCGTAGCGCCTCACGAGCAGTGTGGGTAGCTCCGGCCGCCTTGGGGGGCTTGCAGTTTCTCGCACATAGGGTTTATGGGGTTTGGAGTTGTTTATAGGGTTTGTATAGGGTTTCGGGTTTCTAGGGTTTGTGTAGGGTTTGTGTAGGGTTTATAGGGTTTGGAGTTTAGGGTTTATAGTTTTCTTTTGAGGGCCCTTTTCTACCTGTTGCACAGTCTTAATTCCTATACTTTGGAGCTTAGGGCTTATATACAGTTTAGGGCTATAGGGTTTGGAGTCTAGGGTTTATAGAGGGTTGGGGTTTATAGGGTTTGGAGTCTTTGGGTTTATAGAGGGTTTCGGGTTTATAGGGTCTGGAGTTTAGGGTATATATAGGGTTTAGGGTTTATAAGGTTTCGAGTTGAAGGTTTATGTAGGGTGCAGGGTTTATAGGGTGTGGAGTTGGGTTTATATAGGGTTTAGGGTTTATAGAGTTTGGAGGTTAGGGTTTATGTAGGGCTTCGGGTTTATAGGGTTTGGAGTTTAGGGTTCATATAGGGTTTAGGGACTATAGGGTTTGGAGTTGAGGGGTTAAGGGTTTATAGGGTTTGGAGTTTAGGGTTTACGTAGGGTGAAGGGTCTAGGATTTAGGCGACGTCGGGTTTAGGGGTTGGGTTTGGGGTCTAGGCTGGATTGGGGAAGGTCACGGGCTTTCCACGGTTTGGGTTTGGAGCGTCAGGCATGGGGGATCGGGTTTCGGTTTAGGGTTTAGGGTTCGGGTCGCATAGCCTGGATTTTTGAGGTTTGAGGATACATGGAACAATCTCCTCGAGGCAGGATCGAGTTCGCTGGGTTCAGGGTACCGGGAACTGTTCAGGTTGCATCCCAACATGACTGCCTCACTGCCTAGGATGTACGTCTGTAGGCAACTATGTTACCCAACCCCCCATAATCCAAAGTAGTGTAGGGGCCTTAACAAGTAGAATAGGGTTTTGGGGCCCGTTATACTATAGTTATAATACGGAGCCCCCGAAAGAGTATAGCTTTAGTAGGTTTCAAGAGGCGGGGGGTGGTTTCAGGCGGGCTTGTCGAAAGTGGTTTTATCATTACGTGTGTTTTGTGGAGAGAGAGGTGGAAGTTCGGAAGGGATTGGTGGCGGCTCAGACAAAGTGGCATGCTATCATCAGGCGCCTGATCGGCATTATTATCGAACAAATCATCCCAACCATCAAATTCCGTGACTGTAGATCGTTGAACCGTGCAATCTGGCTACTGACCTTGAGAAACCTAGCATTGGCAGTGGAGTGCTCTCAAGTCAGGACTATTGGAACCCACAAAAAACAAGAGATTCCAATAGAACCCTCAACAGACTCGATAACAAAATATGTTGAATTTTGCTATTGCTAAGGGGTGTTCACCGTTCGGGGGTGAGAGGGACGGAGGTTGTACTGTTTCAGAGGGGCTTCCCATACACCCTAATTAACACTCTAAACCCTGAGCCCTAGTAATCCTTAAACTCTGAATCCTGCATAATCCCTCTGACTCTAAACGCTAATAGCTCCTAACCCCTAAACCCTAAACCGAAGACGGGGCACGCTGTTAGCCGGCTGCGAGACCACATAGAGGCGAATGGTGAAGGCGATCTGCATGAGGTACCTGAGGTTTAGGGTTTGAGAGTTTCACTGATGCTTAGGGTTCAGGGTTGTCGGGTTTAGGCCTGGACACCAGATGGCATGCAGAATAATAGCCTTTCATAGGTGGTGGGTCAAAACTGTTACCTACATTTGAAGGTGTAGGTTTGCCTGGACCCCAACAGTATGTAGAATAATCGCTTCCTGCGCTTGTTTTTAGGTGTTGTGCCATTGTCGTACCTTGGGGGAGGGGGTTCGGTGCGGTTCCTAAACCCTAAACCCTCAACCAGGTTGTAGGGTTTGGGGTTTAAGCTCTCGAGTTTCGGGCTTCCGAGTCCTTCTTCAGGCAGGTTCGGGCTTGAAGTACTGGTCCTTGCAGCTTTAAGTCTACCCCGAGGCCCCAAAGTAGTTCCTTTTTGGGGATTACCTTCTAGGGTTCTATATATGAACCCCCAAAAGGAACTACTTTGGGGCCTTTGGGTAGTAGGTTGACCTGGATGAAGCGGGCAAAAATTCATGTCACATGTCCATGCACGTCCAGGCCCGAACACCAGAACCAAGCCTTTGTTCCGTTCTGCTAGTACTTGCGAACAGGAAGCACGGCCTGCCTCTTTTACCTACGACGGTTTCGGGTTTACCAGAACCTCCCATAGACCCCTGAAAGGCTTTTGCACTCCTCCGTCTTGCATAGTCGTCGTCAGGCACAATGGAGGCAGATTGGGGCAGTCAAAGACATCTTACTTTGTTTGTTGCAACCCAAGTTGCACGAGGATCGCCACAGCGCGCGAAATGTCGATGATCTGCGGTGACAGAAAGATGCGATTGAACGTTAACCAATTCAGGACTCCTGCGAACAAATGGAAAAACAAGCTTCTCAAACCCCAAGACACTATCCACTTACACTCCAGACACTAAAACCAGCACGTCGTTCTATTCATTAAGGGCTGTCAGGTACTACAACATCTCATAAGTTTCTACAAGGGTTCCCTGGCTTGGCTGTCACGGCAATGAGGTTCCCTGCTAAATAGGATCATTACTGCAGTGCCCCGACTCCAAAGAGCAAGTAGTTTCAAGGCATCCTACTTTCAGGAATTCTCTAACTGTAGTTTTACATTATAAATTTACATATATATATATATTTGTTTTAGAACTTCGGGTGTAATTATATGTTTTAGGAGCCCTGACTTAGCATCCCAACCGAACCAGCTAAGTGGCTGTTTCGTTCAGGGTGCAGTGCCCCCCCCCCTCCCCCCAAGCACCCCCGCGTAACACTTTTCGGACAGGACAGCGCATCAAAACTTTCCTACACCCACGGAGCGACGCTAAGGCTCAAGCGTGAGAAGTTCGCTGTGCTCCCACTCAAGCCTAAATTCCAAATATCCCTAAACCCTTAACGCCATGCTAGACCCAAAACCTCTGAGCCAGGGCCCTAGACAGTAAGCTTCCGGCAGCGTCGGTGGGATGGTGCGTGTAGGCCAAAGCGATGGATACAGCTTCGACAAAGGGACCACCCATCTGGCACAAGCGAGTCTCTCTCTGTGTGTGTCTCTCTCTCTCTCTCTCTCTCTCTCTCTCTCGTCCATATGTGTGTATATATTATATATGTATGGCGCTAACTAAACATGTATGCGTGCATCGTGCATGTACAAAAGTATGCATGCGTACAGGCAGACTTGCATGCATGGGCATATAATAGCACTCACACATGTATGAATGTATGTAATGTATGTATGTATGTATACATAGCATAGAAGGATGTTTCCATTCCTACTCTGGTATCTGAAGTTCAGTCCTAGCATGCTGAGCTCACAGCCTTCAGCCAAGGTTGTTCCGAAATTCAGTCCCATTGCCTAGCTAAGCAACATCAAAAACATCAGAGACGTAAGCTGAACAGATATCCCGCATCGCTTCTTCCCTGAGCCTCTAGACGACTGTGCCCTGGAACAACACTCACACGTCAAAACCCTCAAATCCTCAAACTCTTGATCCCAATGAAGCTCTGAGCAGCGTGCTGAAACTCAAGACTAAAGCTTTCACTAAAGTCCTCAAGCCCGAAACCTTGAAACCCAAAGCCGCCTGAACCCTAAACGTCCCTAAGGGTCATCTGTGCCGAGTCGTGAGAGCCGCAAAACCCCAAAGCCCCTCAACTGTCTCTTGGAAGGAAGTGGACAGACTTCGAAAGAAGCCTCGATGGGGAAGCAGCCGCCATGCGAAGGGAGAACGTCCATGCGGAACATGATCCAAATACCTCACCCAAAGGCTCCAAGTACCAATATAATAGCTGCTTATGTAGTAGATATCTGGGTCCCCGAAGTATATACTGACTCTACGACTACTATACTAAATCCCCGAAGTATATACTCTACGACTACTATACTAAACCAGACTATACTGTTTCTTGGACCCTTCGGTCACGTGACGTGTGTGCACTACGCCCCGAAGGGCTTTGGGTTACGTCACTTAACCACCAAACCCTGAACCCTGAACCCGATTTAGGGTTTAGGGTTTAGGGTTTAGGGTTTAGGATTTAGGGTTTAGGGTTTAGGGTTTAGGGTTTAGGATTTAGGGTTTTGTGTCCAGACATAAAACGAAGCTACACCTAGAACGTGCAATAATTTGTCAACTTACTACCGTCTAGCAGACCCTGAACACCTGCTGTTAGAGTTCTCTATGAGACCCTTAACACCCACTACTACAGACCATAAAACCCCCCTGGTTGAGTGATGTTGAATGTCAACCTATACCCGGACAGAGTCTGAAATCTATTTCATTCTCGAACTAAGCCCGAGAGAGCAAGAAATTGATCCACGTTCACCAAGCGTGAGTTAGATCAAAACTGGCTCAACACTGTAAGCATGTACCAGAAAACAGTCATAGTGAGAAGTAGTAGAAGCATTCTGTCGTGTGTATAGCAGCTAATAACTGGTGCTAATCGTAGCAATGCTACTAAGTGTACCTACTCGTCAAACTGCTGGTATCTGATGGTAATTACTACTTATTACTCGTAATACAGCAGCGGGTAAGGAAAGTCAAAGCCAACACACCAGGAACACCACAGCCGAATCCGAAACCCTGCAGCAAACGGGGCCCCGTGCCGGCAGTCAGCGATGAGCCGCAAACGACCGCACCCCAAATGAGTCCAAGCTCGGAAACATTGTGCAGCACCTGACGCTTTCGGTGACCCCACGAAAGTTGTGAGCTGCCTTTAAGTTCGAGTCCGATAAGCCCATTCCATGCTAACCCAAAGGACCCAATAAGGTCCTTTTATAGAGTTCTATAAGGATACTATAAGGGTACTATAAGGGTCCCTTTAAGGGTAGTTGGGGTTCATTTTTCCGGTAGTCCTGAGTCCTAAGCTCCAAATACGTTTAAGCTTGCTGAAAGCCACGAACTTTTCAGCCTTAAGACCCCACGACGACGGGCCCTATCGAAACTCCCAGATCCCTCACGCCTTCCGCCACCTCGGCTTAAATCCTGTCAGCCATAAGCCTTGAAATGCTAATCTGGGCCCAGACGGACTAACACCGTCCACAGATCCTGCCTCCCCCCAAAAGACGAAGCCGCTCAAGATCTTCCACCCAAAGGGCTTTATTAACGTCCTGCGATTAGCAATCACCTCGCTCCGCCGAACCGCAAGCCCCGACACCCAAAGCCTCAAAGCGAAACCGCCGACCCTACCTGTTCTAAAAACTGCAAACGTTGGGCCCGCTTTTGACTTCCGTGCAAGCAATAGCCGGGGGCACGAGCCAGTATGCGAAGGACTGGATCAGGTGGATCTTACCAATCAAGAAGGTCACGCGGGCATAAGCCTCAGCACCTGACTCCCGAAAACAAGCAGCGAGCATGATGCTGGTGGTGGTGGTGGTGGTGAGAGTGGTGCATGTGGAGGTAGTGGTGGTGAGAGAGGTGGTGGTGGTGGAGGTGGTGGCGGTGAGGGTGAACATGTCCATGCTCATGGTTGTGATGGTAGTGGTGTCAATGATGCTGATCATATGTCATCAGCACAAGCATGGAAGTGACTTCGCCGAGGATGAAGAACGAGACAAGGCTGATCATCACAATATCGTTGCAGTTCATAATAACAAAACAGTCGGATGATGAGGTAGAGATCTGTGATTCAGTGATGGTGCTCATCGTCGAGCTGGCGGGCGGTGATAGCGATGCTGGCAGTGCTTGTGATTTGATCATGTCATCTGTGATCCCAGTATTCAGGACCAGCTACCAAATGCCAACACCTGCAACCCTACTGCCCTATATCGATAACTGTGAACATATAGACCCGAAGACCCAGATTCCTCCGAGGCATGTCTGTCTGTACATCACACCCACCCTCGAACCAGAATGATCCACAAAAGCACATATCCTGCAGATAGTGTAATATGGGGTGATCTGGTGGCCTGAATGAATAAACCAACGTTTTTTGGTGCATCCTGTGGTACAGTTATGCTTGGGACTATGAGTGGACAGTAACACGCCCTGCTTGCACTGAATGCCGTAAGCCAGGCTCCTAACACACTGCCTGAGCTCATTCAGTGCCAAGTCAAGGTTAGGAGCATCAACTGGACACAAAGCTTCGGATCTATCGGAGCTCTTCAAAAAGAATCGTTTTACTGGCTACTTCAAGGGATGCATATTTTTGAATGATGTCTAGCAGTCTAGCAGCTTGTGAGCAGGTTTTTATTGGAGCCAGGGTTGAACCTCGGACACCTGCTTCTCATTCGTCCGACCAAGGGACACCAGTAGTCCTTCTGAGCTTGGCGGATCAGTTCCTTTCAGAGCAGGCAGATTAACTAGGATCCGAATACTCATTCAGGAGGTTTGAGGGTTTACTGTTTAGGAACTCCTGGAATCTGACTTCCAAGAACCAAGTCCTTTCGTATTTGGCACTGCCCCTAAACTCTAAGCCCCTGAACAGCAAGATAGGCTTCCCCCTTCCCCTGGGTTATCAGCTACCCCTCCCAACCCTGAACCCTAGACCCTAAGCCCTAAACTCTAAACTGTAAACCCTAAACCCTGAACCCTAAACCCCTGAATGCAGGCGTGAAGCCCGTGCTTGAAAGGAACTACCAACACCCGATCCGCCAGTCGTACAGGTTTGAGGTTTGCTGTGTTTCTGGCCTAGGGTTTAGGGTTTAGGATAGAGGCGATAGAGGGTTCATTGTTTAGGGCTTGGGTTTAGAGCCTTGGGCGATAATAATTAGAGAAGCTTGCGGCGGGAGGGAGGGCGGGGGGTGTTGTTCTACTATGGCTATGATGGAGGAGCATCGCCCAACATGTCCAAGTAAACAGTGCAGCATACGATGACTGTTTCACAGCATACGGTGACGGTTTTAAACATGCGGATCTCAAATCTCTAACCAGAGAGTTTAAACTACCTCCGTGGCCGTTGGGCCCAGGCCGCCAAGTCTATCGGGAGCCCACTCGGAGCCTTTGGATAAGGACGAATACTGCGAGTTGTTCGGGCCCTTATTCCATATACTCTCCAAAATAGTAGCTCTCCAAAATACTAGCCTACATAACTACCATCCTGAACCCGAGCATCTAGTTGCTGTGTCCTTGGGACCCCTAGAAACCCTAAACCATAAACCCTCAACCCTAAACCCTAAACCCCTAAACCCTGAACCCTAAACCCCTAAACCCTAAACCCTGAACCTAAACCATAAACCCTAAACCCGAAACCCCTAAACCCTAAACCGGATCTTGAGGCAGGCCACGAAGTGCTCGTAAGGCTCGGAAGGGCCCTCCATGCCAAAGCCACTGGGGGAGGCCTGCAGCAAGAGGTTCAACCAGGAGGTTTAGGGTTTAGGGTTTTTTAAAGTGTGTTGAACTTTGACTCTGCATGAGCAGACTCTCCGTTCGCCCTGTTGGGCGCACACTACAGAAACTAGCCACTCATTACTCACCGATGTCACCGGGGTTTAGGGTTTCGGGCGGCCTGAAAACAGAATAACTAGGCACATAGGAGAAACTACACCTTAACTCCAACAATATGGGCTATAAGGGGATAAAATCTTGGCATATACTACACTGCAAGGGGGGAGAAGGGGGGCATATCACTTGTAATTTCTTGGATTCTATAGTAGGATTGGGAGTCTGAATGTAGGAGAACCATACTATACAAGGCATGTGGGCTATCTTGGGATACTCCGAGTCGCTTCGGGTGGGATAGGGCTCGCACTCACTCGCAGGGACGACGGGATCACCCCTACCACAGGGTTCCGAAAGGGGTCGTTGGGATCTCCCGTCTAGCCCGACATTCCGAAGGGCGAATCTCACAAAGGAATAGACCGGCAAACAGCCCTCAACCTTAATCCGTTTAGTCTTTAGGGTTTAGGGTTTAGGGCAGTTTCGGAGGTCAGCTTTCTTGGTTTAGGGTTTGTGGGGCTTAGGGGTTGGGATTTGGGTTTATAGTGCGACCCTGATTCCCAAGCCCTAAACCTTAAAAATCCTCAAAAACCCATGAATCCCAAAGCCCTTATCATAGTTATAAAAGAACCCTTGTTATACTTATTATTAGAGAACCCTTATTGTAACTACCACAGAATCCCGAGAATTATCAAAGAGCCCTGAATAAAGTATTCAGGAGCCCCTAAAATAACAAAGGAGCCCAAAAAATGATTCAAGACCCCCTAAAGCCAACCCTTGCCCAGGTTGAGGCTGGCCTTAACCATAGCCCCTAGATTTGAAATGAATTGAACCTAAACCATTGCCCCCACTTGGAGGTTCATGGGCAGTTATAAGTTGGGTTATAAGTACGGCAACTATACTTATAACCCATATTAGGGGACGTATAACCCCACTTATAACTAGCCATGAACCTCCAAGTAGGCCCTAAACCCTATACCCCTATAGATTCCTTTAAAGCGACCCTTAAAGGAACCCTTATAACTACATGTTACAAAATAGGTTGAGGCTGGCCTTGGGTAGCGCATCACGCGCCTCAAGCTCCTTGTCCATCCTCGGGGCAGGAACTGTACTTGGAGGGTCGGGGGACTTAGTATGGGGCTCCTTTAAAGAGTATTCTAAGGGATCCTTTAAAGGGCTCTATAGGGGTACTATAAGGTTTAGGGTTCAGGGACTTAGTAAGTAGGTAGTAAGTAGACTTATAAGTACCCTAAAAGGGACCTTAACTGGGGTTATGGTACTCTTCAATCCCTGAAATAGCCAGTTACTAAGTCCCCCGACCCTCCAAGTAGACTTGCGGCTTTTGCGGGGTCTTTAGGGGTTTAGGGCTTTAAGGGCTTTAAGGGGTTTAGGGGCTTTAAGGGGTTTAGGATGTGGGCTTCGGGTTTATGGCTCATAAGATTTGGGCTTCGCGATTTTAGGGTTTAGGGTATACGGTTTAGGGTTTAGGGTTTGTAGGGTTTAGGGATTAGGGCTCAAAGGTCCTACTAACCAGTGGTTTTGGGGTTCCCTGGGCTCTTTAGCTCCTTATTCAATAGGGATTATCATCATCCCTGGCTCCTTAGCTCCTCCAATATCAAAGGTTAGCCTATTATACTGAACTCGAGCTCTACCTGAGAGAACTTGACCCCTCAACCAGAGGATCTTCGCTCTGGGAAGACAAAACTGGAACTCCTAAGCCTCATAAGCCCAAACCCAAACCTTCTTCCCTACATATAAGCCCTGTGACCCTGTGCACCAACTATGTAAACCCTAAAAACCCTATAGGGACCCGATGCTTTTTAACTGAAGCCATCTAAACCCCACAACACCTCGAAACCCTCAGCAAAACGACTACAGCCTTTCCAACAAACACTAAAGCCCTAAGAGCCCTCTCAACACCTGCAGACCCTAAACCCCGCAAGCCGTAAGACCACCCAAATCCCTCCAAGCATGTTTTTTAACTTTAAAAACATATAACCACCCAAATCCCTCCAAGCCCTAAACCCTCCGAACCCCCTCAGAGTCAGACCAGGAGGGTGCGCCGCTCGTCAGTCCCGGCATCTTCGCAGCATAGGCAGCCTCCTTGGTCGAGCCACCTGGAGGTTTCGAGGTTTCGAGGTTTCGGGTTTAGGTTTAGGGATTCGGGGTGTTGGGTGTAGGGGTCTAGGGAACGCTTTAGGGGTTGCGGATTGAAGTTTAAGGATGTATAGGGGTGAGGTCCTAACCCGCCTCAACCCGTGGAATATGGAGGGTGTAGTAACGTATACGAAAGAATACAGAGTGGCTTCATGACTGCCTTGGGACTATGTAACCCTAAGGGTCCAAGTACCTAATAACCATACACTCTCCAAAATCCTAAACTACATAACTACTATCCTAAAACCGAGTACCTAATTATTGGGTCCTTTGGACCCTTGGGGTAAGGGGATGTCATGTCCCATAGTAGGAGAGCTTGGCGTGTTGGTCAACTGTTACTGACCGCAGCGTAACCCTGTCAAAGGCCGAATAAGCCGCTACTTGGAGGGTCGGGGGACTTTGTAACTGGTTCTTTTAGGGACTTATAACTACCGTAACCCCAATTAGGGTCCTTTTTAGGAACTTTCAGGGTGCTTAGAAGTCTACGTACTACCTACTTACTAAGTCCCCCGACCCTCCAAGTACTAAAGTTACCTTGAAAAGGCTCCTGGCTGGCTTGGGTGTTCAGGGCCAGGTCATGGGTGTGGGTAGTTATTAGTAGGGTTATAAATCGGGTGTTCCTTTAAAGAGATCTATAGGGTAGGATTATAGGGTTTAGGGGTAGTTATAAGTAGGGTTATAAGGAGGGTAATTATACTTATAACCCGTATTAAGGAACTGATAACCCCACTTATAAGGAACCTCCAAGTAAGCTTCCGCACCTGTCTCTTCAGCGAACTCCTTGACCTTTCCCTTCACTTTGGCAGCCATGCCTCAGACATGACCCATTCTCGAACGGATGAGGAAATGACATTCTGGAACAGGTGAGTTCGGGCAACGGAGCCAGGGATCTTTGGGGTTTGGGGCCTAAGGATTTCGCAATGGGTTCAAGGATTCAGGGGTTCAAGGTGTTCAAGGTGTTCAAGGTGTTCCATGCGAAGTCGTGCGCTGCGCGCTGGGATGTTAAACATGCTCAGGAATCGCCCTGTGCAAGTCAGTGGGCAACGTGTTTGGCTCTGCCGCTCGATCGCTGACCACCTAACCCTAAACCCTAAACCCCTGAATCCTAAACCCTAAATCCCAAACCCTAAACCCTAAATCCCAAACCCTAAACCCCTAAATCCCAAACCCTAAACCCTGAGTGCAATTAGGAGTCTCTAGGGCTTTAGGGTCTTGAGCTAACTTTCGTCGAAAGCCCTATCAAGCCGTGTTAGGAGGTTCGTGGCCCCGAAGACCCCAAACGAAAATCTCGAGTAATTGAGTTCGCGATCGGTCCGACGTCGCCATAGCCAAGCAGATCTTGTAAGGCAGTCCAAGAGAAGGAACACAACATGTGACACGGAGCTTTGGAATTCCTATGACAGGGGCCTTAGCAAAAACGCGTGTAGTCTTCCTGGCGGTTCCTTAACAGCCCTTTCCTCTTCTCGGGTGAGGCAAAACTATCAAGCCTACAGTTGTGGGGTTGCTAGTTAGTGCAAGCATGACGCACGTTTAAGTCCAGGTAAAAACCCTTATAACCAACCTCATGAAGCTTTACGAATCTATATGGGGGTTTCCGAATATATATATATATATATATATATATATATATATATATGATGCTGCTAATACAGTACCCTACCTAGTAGGATCCTTATTATAAGGACCCAAAAACAGAGTACCCCTAATTTTCGGAAACTCCCTCATGAGTCCATACTTCGAGGTTCATGGGTAGTTATGCCTGGGGCTATAAGTCCCCTAAAATGGGCTTTTATAGTTACCCTACTTACAACCCTACTTATAACTACCCATGAACCCCATAATCCTACTATACCCTGATCCTAAACCCTATAGAGCCCTTAAAGGAACCCTGACAACTACCCATGAACCCCATTATCCCACTATAGCCCTAAATCCTAAAGCCTATCGAGCCCTTAAAGGAACCCTGAGAACCACCCATGAACCTCCAAGCAGAACCCTAAACCCTAATACCCTTATAGATTCCCTAAAGATCCCGTTAAAGGGACCCTTAAAGGAACTCTAAACCCTAAACCCTTTTAGCAAGTAATCGAAGCCCCCCCTCTGGAGCTCCCGCCTGGCAGGCCGGCCTTCGAATAGCCCGTCTTGGAGGATCCTCCCTGTGGCGTGGCTTAGGGCCTTAGGGTTTAGGGTTTAGGGTTTAGGGGCATGGCGTGCCCAGAGTCTCCAATATCCCTTAATTAGGGAATATACCTTAAATTGTAGTAGGAGCCCTGATATGATTTAAGTTATATTCCTTAATTAAGGGATATTGGAGTCTGGAGTCTCTGGGTGAGCATGGGACGAGCTCATTAGGGATCGCAGACTTCTGGGCGTTGAGGGCTTCCGGCTTTTCGGTTATGGGCCAAGTTATGGGGTTTTAGGGTTTACGGTCTATAGGGTTTCAGGGTTTGGGGTTTACGGGTTCAGGGTTTATGGGTTTAGGATTTAGGCTTTAAGGCTCTTAGGGCTTCAGAGATATGTAGGCTGTTCAGTAACGCACTGGGAAGAGGCATATGACATATGATATACTTTTGTGGATTGGCTGCATCACAAGTTGCAACAGGAGCCTAGTTGATACTATGATAGGAAACCCAGTAACAAACAAGTGAAGAAGAATACAACTGCCAAACCTGTGTAAGCTTTGCGAATTTTGAAGGCTCTGCAGCGGACACACGGGGTGTTCTGCTTTGCTGATTTGGTAGGGCGTTGAGGAGCATTCCGCAAGCACACGGTCTAAGAATAACAGAAGACCATCCACCTTCAACCTGAGATTGGCCGAGGCTTGAGAACTCCCCAGGCATCCTAATCTACACTCCACAACCCATACGTCTATAGCACTGGACCCACCGACAGAAATGGACGAGACCTTCTTGTCATCATCCTTCTCTTCCTGGCGTCAGAAAACATCACGGCCATGGGTTCAGGATGTCGTGTGAGGGGCTATAGGGTTTTAGGCGGCTTAGGCCGCAAAGCCAAAGCGCTAAATCCAGGCCTTTGCGGTGGGGGCGTGCACTTTCCGAAGAGCCCCCGTACATCTTCGGCGTTCTTGGCTTCAGATACTGGAACCCATGGCTTTGTAAAAGGCTTCCGATCAGCCAGCACCCCCCGAGTACCCGTTAAAGGGCTCTAATCTTTCTCATTAAGAGGTAATTAGGGACTGCAATAAAGGGCAGTTGGGGGGTCTAGGAGGGATCCTTTGCTCAATGGCGTTTGACTCTTCGAGCTTTAGGTGTAGGATTGTACCCCGTAGTAAACTATGAAGCCCGATCAAGAAAGGATCAACACTGAGCAGCAATGTCCTTGAGCCGACGATTTTCCAAACTTTAAGCTGCAAACGTGGAAGTAGCCCCTCAGCCCATACCCGCCGTCCATAAACCGCTTTAGAACTTAGGTTCTGGTTCGTGTGTAACGACCCAAACACCGCCCTAAACCCTATACTCTGAGCCCTCAACCCTCAGCCCTCGAACCCCAAACCCATAACCCCTACACCCTAAACCCTAAACCCTAAACCCTAACACCCTAAACCCTAACACCCTAAACCCTACACCCTAAACCCTAAACCCTAAAGGCCCTAAACCCTACACCCTGACACCCTAAACCCCAAAAGCCTCCTCCCTGCCCAACGGCCTCCTCGGGAATAGGCTCGCCCCCCGTGTTCGGCATCAAGAAGGGCAGCCGGAACCTATACGGTTTAGGGTTTAGGGTTTTAGGGTTTAGGGTTTAGGGGTTTAGGGTTTAGAGGGTTCTTGTAAGGGCTACTGTGAAGGGCTGAAAAGAGTATCCAAGCTTAGTTCGAATAGGAATAGTGATGTATTTTCACGGGTCTTCATGTCAAGGGTTCCTTCGAGGCTTTGATGCAGGGGCAAGTTGGACTAGGACATAGTGGGAACCCTAAGGGATGATGTGACAAGCTTCGCAAGCAAACAGGCAAGCAAGGAAGGAAGTGGGCAAGTAGCAGGAATGTAGGTAGACGGGAGGGGAGGTAGGTGATGAAGGCAAGCAAGCCTGTATTATGTATGTGTTAACTGCATGCAAACACATAAAGCGAAAACGTATACACATATGAGATTAGTTGTGTTCTATCGCCGGTTCGCTGACGCCTATTCAACTGCTCGAAGTCTTGTCATATCAGCTTTGGATGGCATGCTACTCCACTGTTCTGTCCATATGGAAACAACAAGACCAGTGAAGCGGTTGTTGGGCTCGTACGTCAAGAAGCTTATGGGGCTAGGAGATCTCGGCCAAGATGCATATCGTAGACATTCTGCTCTTCGTAAGTAGAGAGGATCTTCCTTGCGCTGTCCAGCTGTCTTTGAGAAGGAACAGGAAGACGGACTTTCCTGGGCTCGCAGGGGGGTTAGAGCTTGCCTAGACCCTTAAATGTAGCACCTTGTTTTGGTTACCTAATGAGTGTCTTGTTCGCGGATCCTAGCCATGAAACGAGTTATCCAATAAAAGGTCCTACTTGTAAAGGTCTAGGTAGGGTGTAAGGAGATTAGTAGGGGGAGTGTCGGCAACAAGCCAAAAGAAATTAAACAAAGGAAATCTACCTCGTGATCTGCTTCTTCCAGAGTACCACTTTTACGGTTTAAGCTTCCGAGTGGGTCTTCCTCAAGGGCTCGTGGTGGCAAGAGCGAACGTCATAATCCCCCGAAGCAATCCGCACCATCGCTAATCTTTAAACCTTTGCCATAAAGTCCTAAGCCCCTTATAGCAAGCCCGAGCCAAACCCTGAAACTCCAACCCTAAACCCCTTGAATCCTAAACCCTGAACCCTAAACCTCTAACCCTAAACTCTAAACCCTAAAGCCCTCACCCTGAACCCTATACCCTAAGCCGATATACCCCATGAACCCTGAACCCAGATCCGAACCCAGAACCCTGAACACGAGCTTTACACTCTACTGCGCGAGTGCCGTAGCCAGATTGTGACGGCGACGCACGACCATCCATCGTACATGTCGTTGACGGAGCACGTGTTTGCAGCTGCATTGATGATATCGAATATCTTGTCTTCTCCTGTCCAGCCGACGTCGACCTCGCACTCTCAACTGGTTGTCCCTGTAAAACTTCGCGCCCCTTTGTGGGGATGAATCGAAAACAGGGCACTGTGCGCGCAGGCTGGCAGCCCGCTTCGGAGCCATGGGTATGTAAGACCCTGGCACCCCCAGGGCTCACTAATTCCATGAAACGTGAAAGCCCGTGGATCTGCAAAGTCGTGGTGTGAAGCATCTTCCACGTCTTGACAAAACCAATGACGCTACCGTTAAGCTGTTAAACAAGGAACACGAAAGAATCTGCAGTTAGGACGTTCATGTGAAGTGGGCTTCCTATGGAAGGGAACTAGTACCTCCCTGAAAACACACAGAAAGCGTTTAGACGTCTCGCGGACTCACAGAGAATGCCATCATCGATGTACACTGTAATCTAGCTACAATACCCGGCTTCATGTAGCTCAACCCCGGAACAACGAGCTCCAAACCTCACAGCGATAGCTGTAAAACATCTCCAAATGCCGCTACTGCGAGCTAAACCCTGGCAACCGACAAGCCCTAAACCCACAAATTCGACAGAAAACCCCCTAAACCCTAAACCCTAAAGCCTTCAAGAAAAACCTCCCGGCTTTGTCTCCAAGAGGCCGCGTTCGCAGCTGCACCATGGCAATCTGTGCCTTGACTTTCGTAGGTCTCTGGGTTGAGCATGGCTTTACTGGGGTTTTAGAGTTTAGGGATTATGGTTTAGGGTTTCAGGGTTTAGGGTTTACGGGTTCAGGGTTTATGTGTTTAGGGGTTAGGGTTTATGGGTCTAGGGTTTATGGGTTTAGGGTTGAAGGATTTTAGAACTTATTTTAGGCTTTTGTTTGTAACTCTCTTTCGTATTCTCAAGATGCAACTTGGAGAGACTGTACGCTGGGTTGCATATACCCATAAATCTGCAAGGTTGCCCACCCAACCCTCCCCCAACCACAAACCCTGAACCCTAAACCCTAAAACCCAGGCCCGAACCCTATAGTTCACTAAACCCCTAAATACCTCAAGCCAACCCCCTAGAGGTGGTGGCTTCGTTACTTGGAGGTTTCATGGTTAGTTATGAGTAGGATTATAAGTAGGGTCACTATACTTATAACCCATGTTTGGGGACTCATCACCCCATTTGTAACTACCCATGAATCTCCAAGTAGAGCCCGAAACCCTAATACCCCTGTAACTATAGAATCCCTATAGATCCCTTTAAAGGGACCCTTAAAGGAACCCTTATAACCACCCATGAACCTCCAAGTACTCTATTGGAGGAGCTGTCGGCCGCTACATGCGAATGTCTTGTTGAGTTTGGGGTTCTACGTTCCAGAGTGGACCCTAAATAACATTTAGGGTTTAGGGTTTAGGGTACCCTTTTTCCTACTAATTGGTTTTCACAAGGCGACCCCCAAAAAAAAGGGGTCAAAAGGGTACTACTCAGGAACCTAGGCTTTTAGGGGTCAGGGTTTAACCTCTCGGAGTACCTGGCAGAATTTAGAAGAAACCAGAGGAAGGAAGTCGATGTGAATCTCTACTATGCCAAGATCCCTACAGCGAGGCTACTATAGCGGCCTTAATAAAAAGAATAGGGTTTCTTTAAGGGTTCCTCTGAAGAGGGTCTTATAAGGGATACATAGTAGGGTTCTGTGATATAATGGCCTTAATAATCAGAATAGGGTTTTGCGGCCTGGTACTGTATAAGTGTAATAAGGAACATCCAAAACGGTATTGGCAATTATTTCGGCTCCTATGGTAGATGCTCAAGACTCAAGCCAAATCGTCGACCCGACTGCTCAACTGCCTCTGAACCTACCATGCGCTGAGAACTTTAGGCCTACTTACATGGGGGTTCGAAATCCCCACGCCCAGAAAAGGTTCTAGCGCTTCGGAAACCTAAATCCTAAACTCCAAAACCCTAGACTCTAAACTCAAGTCTCCGCAAGGCGGCCCGCATGGCTGCATGCCAGCACAGCCAAATCGAGAGCGTCATGAAGGCGAAGGAGACGCCGAGGCCTCGGCGGTGTGTGGTGTAACTTCTCGGCTTATGGCTTGAAGTAAACCCTAAACGCTTATACCCCAAAACCCTATAAGCCCTCAGGATTTCGAGCGCAACGTAGGGTTTAGGGAAGAGGCCGTTGGGCTGGGGAGACAATATTCAGGAAAGGCTTGTTGCAACTCTTCAAAAATGCTTCTGAATTATAAGGCTTCGATAAGGCATAAGGGCCGCCATCGAAATCGTGGACAAAAGAACGGCCCTGCTCCTCGCCACAACCAACACAGACTTCCAACCTCAATTCGAGATTTAGCGTGTAGGACTTGCTTGAGCTTCATCTTTGCGCGCAGTCCACTTGCAGTAAGTCTTGCAAAACTCGCAGATGTACCCAGCTGCGGTCAAGCAATTGGCGCAAGATCTGCCGACTTTGGTGAAAAATCGCCTTGCTCCCTTCACCAATGAAGGACCGCTCAGACACTTGATCCGAACAATATCGAAGCTAAAATCCCGCATAATCTCGGCCCATCTCGACGACTTCCTTGCCCACCTCTGCTGATCAACCGGTGGACTTCGTTCTCCACGGGGATAAAATGAACTTCAGAGAAGCTGTGACCCCAACAGAGGGGAAGCCGATGATATAGACATCATCAGCGAACACGGCTGCGATTCCACGAATCTTCTAAACCCTAAACCCTAAACGGCCCTAAACTCTAATTGGCATTTTTCGCGCAGAACGAAAAATCCCTCTTCCTCAGGCACCAAGTAGGCAAGGACAGAAACATCTCCTTCCATAACGGTTCAAAAAGGGCTCTACGAGGGCTAGGTTCCTATGGGGCTTCATATGATCTTGATGTAGGGGAGATACTTAAGTAGTTCGGGTCCTGCGCTCTTGAAGCACAAGTTGGGAAGTCGTGGGTTTAGTTATGGATTAGGATGATGGAGGTGAAGCTTCCGAGATTTAAGGTTGATGAGGCCCATCATGGGGTTCAGGGCTTTTAAGGCTTGGTATTCTGAGAATCTTCCGACCATGGCACATAGTTTCGCAGATAGGAAAAGACGCCGCTCTGCACCCTCAATCCTCACAAACTCATATCCCACGAGAAGGATCCCGGGCATCTGAAGGTTCCGGCTTCGAGGTTCAGCAATCTTACCCTAAGGGTCCATGTACTCATATAGTATATACATTGGCCTTAATGTAGTCCCTATATAGGTACATTGGGGCCCATGTATCTCTATATGGGTACATGGACCCTTAGGGTTAGGTGTAGGTCCACTGCCCACACTGCTTTGGAACCAGCCAACTCGGTCGCAAAGTTTTTTGCAACCTCGGCCTTACCAGACAGGCACTTCCGTCAAGCTGGCGCCAAGACAGCTGCCAAGAAACCGGGTTCAGGGTGTTAGCTTTGGGGTTTGGGGCTTAGGGTTCAGGGAAAGCTAACCGCTTCAAGTCAAACACAGGTGATGCTACACCTCATCCTTAAAGCTCAGTGTTGCTCCTCTTCCCTGCTAAACCTCGGCTGTGGGCTCTCGAAATCCTAAGTCCAATCAAAACCGACGCCCCAAACTGAACCCCTACATATCAAAGCCACATATACGGAAACCCAAAACCCTACACCCTAAATCCCTAGACCCTGAACCACCACATATCAGAGACAAAAATCTTGGACCCAACGTCTCGACTCGAAGGTCGAGCTTTGGTTACGGGTTTAGGGTTTAGGTTAGGTACCGCCCCCTTACAGTAAGAGTAAGGTTTAGGGTGAAGGTTAAGGGGGGTTCTAGGGCCCTTCGCAACTAGGGTTTAGAGTGTAAGGTTTAGGGTTATAGGGGCCTTCGCAACTCGGGTTTCGGGGTCAAGCTTAATAGGGCTACTACTAAGGTCCTAATATATCTATAATATGAATATTATTCAACTATTACTGAGTGGCGGCCGTACCCAAGGTTTAGGGTTCAGGGTTGGTACTGCCCCCACCCTGCAACAGTTCGTAACAAGGGTCATTATAAAGGGATATATGTACTATTTATTATCAAACTGCTGCAGAGTGGGGGCCAGTACCCAAGGTTTAGGAGCATAGAGTTCATGGCTTAGGGTGTCGGGTTCCAGGCTTACGGGAGTTTAGGGTCGAGGGCCAACCCCTAAGCCCAAAGAAGCTAAGTGCCATATTGTATATACACATATATATATATATATATACATAAGTACAAGAACCAGCATGATAATAACTACAAAACTGAAACAGATAACATAAAAAATAATGATGACAATAATCATGATCCTAATCATGATACTGATAATTATACTTATGGGTAGCAAAACTGCTGCGATTGTCAGTGTTATTGTAGACATGTATTATTATCCTCGAACTCCGACTCACTCAAAACTCATGTCCTGCTACCAACACCCAGGAATCCTGACAACCCTCAACACGCATACACACGTCGTAGCCTAACGAAGACACAAGCCATTCCAAAAAAAAAGTAAACCCCAAATCCTAAAAACGCAACCCCAACCCCGTAATCCGCTGAACCTACTAAACTCTGGCAACAAGTTGTCCAACACATCTCTGGGGCGCAGGCAATTCAAGTACAAACCCGAGGCAAATGTCGGAGGGCCCGGGAATTTCAATCCTTCAAGGCAATCGGGGGTTTGGGGTACTTGGAGGGTCGGGGGACTTAGTAAGTAGGTAGTAAGAAGACTTATAAGTACCCTAAAAGGGGCCCTAGTTGGGGTTATGGTACTTATAAGTTCCGAAGATAACCAGTTACTAAGTCCCCCGACCCTCCAAGTAAGGTTCTCCTGTCTTAGACTCCTGGCTCCAAGCGCTCCCCTAAGACGGAAGAGCTTAGAGCTTAGGGCTTAGGGCTTTGGGTATAGGTTTGGGTTTAAGGTTTAGGGCTTTGGGTTTAGGTTTGGGTTTAAGGTTTAGGGCTTTGCGTTTAGGTTTGGGTTTAAGCTTTAGGGCTTTGGGTTTAGGGTTTAGGGGTATCTGTATGAATCTGTATCTGCAATATGTTCCGTGGGATCAGTCGGGGAGCTTCAGGGCTAAACCTTGGGCCCTTACTAGGGTTCCATAAGGGTTCCTCTAAAGGGATCTATATACAAGGGATCTATAAAGGGTTTAGGGTTTAGGGTAGGAACCTGATTAAGAAACCTTGGGCCTTTATTAGGGTTCCTTTTCTGAATCCTACTATTTTGGGGTTATAGGGCCAGGGTTTCTTAATCAGGTTCTTACACTAGAGGGCTCATCTGTTTGGTTCTTCGTAGGGAGTGGGGCAATGGATTATTGGGACTACTATTGGGGATTATATAGGGACTACTATAGGGATACCTTCCCCCATTCCCTACTAAGCACCAGGAGCTCATGCACTGACAGGGTGCTGTGGTTGAAGAGGCGTAACAAACAAAAGGAAACGCGTCGAAGGGTGGAGGGTGTGGGACTCTAGCCTGAGGTCTCAAGATTCAGGGCCTTGGCAAGGGCAGCATGCGGCTTTCTGGTTTAGGGCCCAGGGCCTCTGAGTGATGTTGTCGGGTCTTTGGTCGGCATGAGAGGAATCGATTTCCTCTGGTCGAAGGCAACGGAGCTGAGGCCATGGCGCCCGTCATCCGTTGGGCCGACGGTAAATGCGGCCACTACCAGTTCTTGGGCTGGCAGGTCTCTGGAGATGTGCTTCTGTGTCAGCGCCGTCACTCCCACGCCCCATCTTGGTATGTTGAGATTGTAGGTGCAGTCCGACACCAAAGTCAGGCCAGAACCCGCTGCTCCGGTTTCGAAAACCTGGGAAACGCACTTGACCATGTCCTTGGAGATAAGCACGCAAGCCCCTTCCGGCATTGCAGGGCTTTGCCCGATTAGAGAATGCAAAACATCCTCGCCATTGAAAAGCTTCACTGGTGTGAAGACAAACAAAGAAAGGCAGCAATATGCAATTGCAGGTACATATGTGTGCATATATATATATATATACACATGTGAATCTTACTTTCATAACAATAACAGTTATGGTAGTAGTGATGTAATGTGAGTAACAAGTAACAAGTCAGGTTAACAAGTAACAATGACACCAATGCATGCAATACAGGTAATTTTCAAGCCCCTATATTACAAGGCCTCCAGCACAACATGCTACGGTGTATCCCTAAGCTGCCTGTAACCCTCCAACACTACTGAAACCCCAACCCCTACAGCCCAAAACTCTGATTACAGACACGAAAGCCTAAAACCCTAAACCCTAAAACTCCAAGCTCTAGAACCCGAAGAAACCCCGTATAAATCTCAAAACGATTCTAAACTCTAGACGAAACACAAACGCCCTCACGTCCTAATCCCTGAACCTGCTGAATCCCCAACCTCTAAAACACTATACCCTATACCCTACACCCTAAACCCTACTTAACCCTGAAACCCCATGTTCTACTGCTGCAGCAGGCACAGGCAGCCTGAGCGTGCTTCCACCAAAACGGTGAGCACGTATCCCAGACTCATGGTCAGGACCTTGTCGAAGTTAGGGCTAGCTTGGAGTCCCAAACAGGGTTCCTTTAAGGGTTCCTATAAGGCTTCTATAAGGGTTCCTATAAGGGTTTGGGGTTTAGGGTTAAAGGGTCCATGTACCCATATAGAGATACATGAGCCCCAAAGTATCTGTATAGAGACTACATTAAGGCCGATGTCTATACAATATGAGTACATGGACCCTCAGGGTTAGAGTCAATTTAGGGTTTGCTCGCGTCTCATTCAGAGTCTCATTCCCGTATGACTGTATAGCGACTTGAAGGAAATATTGCTGCCTCAAAAGTGTACAGAATACTGGCCTTCTGCGGGTGTTGGTTGGGCCGTCACTTTACCCACGTTTGGGGGGTCATGTATGTAGGGATGTAGGGTTTAGAAGCTGGACTAAAACATCCCAAACCACCCCTAAGCCCGTTAGTTCCAACCTCGCAAGGAGAAGGCCTAAACCCATAACCCATTATGGCCGACCCCACTTATATAACTACGGGTGAACCTCCAAGTAGACCCTAAACCCTATACCCTTATAGACTTTTTATAGATCTTAAAGGGACCCTTAATGGCCCCTTAACTTAGCCCCCAGCCCCTGAGCCTTGTGAGGCCGGAGCCCTACAAACCCTAACCTCGCCCCCCCCGGAACCCCCCCATCCAAAACCCCGCAACGGTTGATGATAGAAATCCCTAGGGCTCCTTTACAGGGATCTATAGGGATACCTTTAAGGGCTTCCTTTAAAGGGATCTATAGGGTTTAGGGTTCAGGGTTGATGATGTGAATCCTGCATTACCTTAAGGGCCCTAAACTATGGGAACTATGGTATATTCCTCATCATGGGTAATGCAGGATTTTTATCATCAACCGAAGCACAAGCCCTTAACCTTTCAAGACCAAGCCCAAAGCCCAAACCTCCCCAAAGCCCCACACCCTTTGCCCCAAATCCTAAAACCCGAGCCCTAAATCCTCAACCCGAAGTGCAAACGGCAATTTCCTTGCGACCTCCGTTGCAAGCTTAGATATGAGACGAAGGTACAACTCGATGCAACCGACGCAAAAAACACACACACACACACACACAAACACACACACACACACACACACACACACACACACAAACCAAGCTTAGGTGTGACGTTCAGGTGGTTCAGTGTCTCCCTGGACAGAGAAACTTACCTTTGTAGGGCTCTATGTTGTCAGGCCTGAAAAGGGTAGGGTATTTGAATACCTATCTGTGTGCATATAATATATATATATATATATATATATATATATATATATATATATCTACATCTATATATATATATATATATGGTTGTTGATCTAAATTGCTTCGTTCCGGAATGACCTTCTTCACGGATAAAAAAGTAACTTTCGCGCCACCGTCGCGCAACCGTCGCGCAACTTTCGCGGAGGCATACTTACATACCTTTGCAAGCTAGACACCTGATTCCTGTGAGGGTTCTGTTCGACGTTCCTTGGAGTGTTCCTTTTAAGGCTTGCTGCGAGGTTGCGCTTAAATGGTTTTTTGCAAGGTTCTTTTGAAGGTTCTTAGTCCTCATCAAAAATCCACCCCCTAAGACGGCCATTCGCGAAAGGCACCAACAATGTCCATTGGGGGGTGGCCTTGATCTGGCGACTTCGACTTTAACGCAACTTACGCGGAACTTGCGCGGAACTTACGCGCTAAATCCTCCACACGAACCTATTTTTTGGGTTTGTCGCTGCTTACACTTAGCATCGACAGTGCTGCAAGGAACTGCACACAGCGTGAACCGGAAACTCGTCTTCGCTACTGTGTTACACAGAAACGTACACAAGCAGTTCTGAACCCACCGCGGAGTCTTCGAGAGTGCAGGTTCAAGCGTGTTTGGAGTCGAGGGTCCAAGGTGCATAACAGCCAGTAGTGCTAGTAGTAGCAATAGTGACAGTAATCGTATTAGCAACAGTAACAGTAACAACAGCAGCAATAGTCATCGTAATCGACATCGTCATCGCAATTGTCGTAGTCGTTGTAGTTGTCGTAGTAGTAGTAGTAGTAGTAGTAGTAGTAGTAGTAGTAGTAGTCGTCGTAGTCGTAGTCGTAGTAGTAGTAGTCGTAGTAGTAGTAGTAGTAGTAGTAGTAGTAGTAGTAGTAGTAGTAGTAGTAGTAGTCGTAGCACTAGTAGTAGTAGTAGTAGTAGTAGCAGTAGCAGGAGTAGTAGTAGTAGTAGTAGTAGTAGTAGTAGTAGTAGTAGTAGTAGTAGTAGTAGTAGTGGTAGTGGTAGTGGTAGTGGTAGTGGTAGTCGTAGTGGTAGTCGTAGTGGTAGTGGTAGTGGTAGTAGTAGTAGTAGTAGTAGTAGTAGTAGTAGCAGTAGTAGCAGTAGCAGTAGTAATAGTAATAGCAATAGTAAGAATAACAGTAGGTCAACACATAACTTTCGCAAAAATTAAAGTAACTTTCGCCGCACCATCGCGGAACTTTCGCGAAGGCATATTTAGCTATGCAGTTGGCCGCTCATATAAATTACCACAAGGAGCTTTAGATCAACTACCATATATATATAATCATGTAATAAACATGTAATTCTATACACATGTATAATACATATATAAAAAACATGTTTATGTATATGTCGGCCTTCGGGCTGTTACGATACCACAGGATATCCTTGCTAACTACTGCGACCTCCATGTTTCATGGTGCATTCGTGGCTTGCGCTATGGCATTGAATACTAGTATTAACAATATTCATAGTAATTATAATAATGGCAATAAGCATACTAGTTCACATAATAGCAGCTTTAACAGCAGTAGTAATGACAGTCATTCCAGTGATTGAATCCTTTGAGATGGAGATTTGAGCGATATACTCTCTACCGGAGTCAAGGGGTATTCATAGTTGCTCTTGCGCTGGATTTTGACATTCAGGAGTTAAATAAAGTTACAGGATGTAGGAGTTGAGCTGGTTTGTGGCAATGCGTTTCTGGCCGGCAGGTGTAATACCTACTTGTCGGGTATCATGGGGAACTAAAGCTTAACCTTTTTGGTTATATAGGAATTATATAGGGACTATACTACCCAAAAAAGGTTAACGGTTACCTACTCTACTACTAGGAATATCCTAAACTCTGCAACTTCAACCCTCCCCACTGAACAACGCACTCGAGGGCCCCACCGGCACATAAACTTTGAGCTTACTCACGGACACGGACGCCAAGTCGGCAACATCCTCTCCTGGGATCATCGTGGGCAATCGCGGGTCTGGGGTCCGTTGAGGGCTCGGTTATCTTCGGCTGGCAAGGTCTGCTGCATGACCAATTCTATATATATGGTTCAGTTCGTTCATGACTGTCGCTGCAGAGTACGCACAGATACAGACACGCAAAGACTCATCTACATACCTGAGGCCCTAGGATTTTCGAGGCTCAGCAGATGCTTCTCGGGCTTTGATATGTTCCTTGGAGTTCTCCTTCTTGGCTACGAACCGCCCCTCCTGACACCCGAAACTGGGAACCGCAAACGCAAAGAACTCACGAAGCCATCGAACAGAAACCAGAAGGGAAAACACCTAAACCCTCAACACATGTTTTGCTTTCAATAGCTTTAAAGCTAAAACGCCGGGGAGCCTAGACTTTGCCTCTTGCCCAAGCACTGCAGATCTTCTCGTGATCTAAGGGGTGGGGGGTGAACGATTCCCCAAAAATTTTCACGGTTACCTTAACATCTGAAGCCTAGGGGCCTGAATAACTCGAATAGGGTTTTGGGCTCTTTTATAGTATACAAGTTTCAGAGCTACAGAGGGCCTAAACTCCAAATCCTCAACACAACCCTGAACCGACCCTGGCAGACTCCATCTTGCCCAGGGTCCTTTTAGAACCCTTCCTCATAGAACTTCCAAACTCATTGAGAGCGTGTTTTTTAAGGTGCAGTGGACCCTTTCTGCGAAATGATCCAGCCAAAGTCGGCTTACACTACATACATATCTGCTATTGAGAACGTTTATGCGTTGGGGTTCCTCGTTATACTGTCTCTAAACCAAACCCAAAACCCTATTCTACCTATAGTCTCCATTGTAGTTCCTTTTTGGGGATTGCCTTATGGGATCCTAAACCACTAGCTGCTTAACCCAGAAAGGAACTACAATGGAGACTACAGGTAATTAATACTATAAGGTCCATTCAATTGAGGCCCTAAACCCTAAACCCTAATTCAGCCCCAAACCTAAACCCGAAGCCCTAAACCCTTATAAACCCTAAACCCTTATAAACCCTAAGACACTACGGTTGATGATACAAATCCTGCGTTACCCATAATAAGGTATATACCATAATTCCCATAGCTTCGGGTCCTTAAGGTAATGCAGGATTTACATCATCAACCGTAGGGCTCAGTTTCACTTATAAACCCTAAACCCCTTAAAACCTGTAAACCCTAAAACCCCAAACCATTTCAAACCCTAAGCCTAAAGCCTAAACCCTTCAGTTTGGGCCGAAGCTTCGGAACAGCCCGAATCGCTTGATCTCGTTGGCCCGTCCCGCGGTGAAGCGACCCCATCGCCTTGGAGCTGCTACATGGTTTAGGGGCTTATAGGGTTTAGGGCCGTTTAGGGGTTTATAGAGTTTAATGTCTGAGTTTAGGGCTTATAGGGTTTATATAGGGGTTTAGGGAGTAGGATTTAGGGCTCAAGGGTTTAGGGTGTAGGGTTTAGGGCTTATAGGGTTTAGGGAGTTAGGGATGAGGGTTTAGGGGTTAAGGTTTGGGGTTTAGGGGGCTTCTAGGGTTTAGGGCTCAAGGGTTTAGGGCTTAAGCTTAGGGCTTATAGGGTTTAGGGCTCAAGTTTAGGGATTAGGGTGTTGGGATTAGGGTTGAGGGTTTACGTTTAGGGCTTATAGGGTTTATAGGGCTTGTTACAGGGTTTAAAGGGTTTGCGGGCTTAGGGTGTAATTAATTAGAATCGAACTGCAAACCTTCGCAACCTAACCTGAGAAGGGTTCTTTGCTCGCAAAAAAAGCGAAGATGTACTGTACCAGAACAGGCTCAACAACGTTTCAAAGCGTCGGTAGCAGTAACAGTCTTCAACTTCAGTCAGTTTTTGGCGGCACCTACATATCGGGGTGCATTCTCCCCTTTTCCCTGTCAGCACCCTTTGAGAGCCCTCGCGGAGCGCTTATCGGAAGCCGCAAGGCACTGCCAAGTTTAAGGCTCACGATTAGGGGGTGAGCAGCTATGGATGAGGGCTCTAACATCACAAGACTAGCTATGGGAGTTCAGCCGGGGTGGACGTTGCTAGCACATCGTCTCCTAAGATTCATTGTGCCCATGCATTGTAACGTATACTTTGACCAGGCCTAAGATACATATGGGTAGTTGCCAAGATTATCCTCCTTGTGGAGAATCTTATACAGTTCTACGCTTAATACGGCACCCTCTAGTTTGGGAACCAAAAAGGACCCTAACTATTCACCACCACCCTTATGGGAACCCAGAGTCCACAGGCGCCAGAGGTGGCTCCAAAGAGCCGGAAAGTGCAAATCGAAGAGACAGCACGAGAGGTGTCATTTGTGCGAATGCCACCAGTGACATGGTAGTGATTGCAGGCCGGGACACAGCATCGCTGCTCGAGGCTGATAGATCAGTCACGATGTCGAACAGGCAGGCAACCAACTTTGGTGCTGCCCTGGCAACTTGAGTGATACTGCTGATGGACAAAATCCTGCATGACCCATTATAAGGAATATACCATAGTTCACATTGTTTAGAGTCCTTGAGGTCATGCAGGATTTTGTCCATCAGCAGAACCCCTAAACCCTAAACCCTAAACCCCTAAACCCTAAACCCGTAAACCCCTAAACCCTAAACCCCTAAACCCCTAAACCCTAAACCCGTAAACCCCTAAACCCTAAACCCTAGTATCATCAATCATCCTCTGGTCAGCCATCTCTTTGAGGTCCGGCAACGTTGGGCACGTGAGCCCGAAGGTTCCTTCGAACGCGGTGAGTCTCCTCCTTGAAGGGACCCTTATAGCGCCCTTTTAAAGGGACCCTTATAGTACCCTTTTAAAGGGACCCTTATAGAGCCCTTTTAAAGGGACCCTTATAGTACCCTTTTAAAGGGACCTTTATAGAGCCCTTCTAAAGGGACCCTTATAGTACCCTTGTATATGTCCTGGCAGTTGGACCCGTTTGCTGTTTTGCGCATATGCTCTATCGGTACAGGGAGCCTGGCAGTTCGCGCCTCGGCACCTATCATACCTGTCGAGCCTAGAGCCTCGATCAAGGACTCCTGGGTCTTTACTAAATTACTAGGGGTGTTTATATATGAGTCCTCGTAGATTAGGGTTTTTTTGGGGGTCAGGGTTTCTTGCCCAGGATCCTACATTTAACCTTAAAGCCAAGATCCAACCTCAAGCCCAAAGCCCCAAGATATGCCCTGAGCTTGGAACGTTAGACATGGAGTTCTTGCAAACACTCCGCCGTGGGGTTTATGGCTAAGGGTTCGACGTCTCTGCAAGCCAACAGCTTCATGTCCAAAAAGAAAAAAGGGGGCCAACTGAATCCTAATGCCTACGCGCAGAGCTCCGACAAACAACATAGACTCAAGCCCTACAGCCCTGAGCCCTGAACTTGAAGCCCTAAACGCCAAATCCTCATGCCCAAGAATCCGAAACCCTAAACCCGTAATCCCCACCCCTTCCAAAAATACAGGAAATTCATGCGCTGGTTGCAGTCACATGACATATGTCTGAAGGGACGGGGCAGTGGAGGGGACATGTAATGTAGGGGCCTTAATAAATGGAATAGGCTTCTGGGGCCCATCATACTGTAATTATAGTAAGGAACCCCAAAGCAGTAAAGGGTTATTCTGAAGGCCCCTATATTAAATCCTGATTGTAGCCCTTATAGACCCCCTTCAAAGGAACCCGTTTCTAATCATTAAATGTCGTATTGCAAATTATGAAGGCCACTATATTGGCCTGTTACCAGTCAGCCCAGTAGCTGACCCTGGTCGAACTTGTAGTTGGTACGATTGTAGCCTCGGTTTCGGCTCGGGGGTCTAGGGTCTGTAGGGCTGGGTTTAGGGTGCAGGCCGCAGGCTATGACTTGGGATTTAAGGAATGAGGATAAAGGGGTGTGGAGCCTGGGACAAGTTTGTAGTTTGTTGGGTTTAAAGTTTAGAGTTTAGGGTTTGGGATTGAGGATTTCTGGTGTTAGGAATTACGAATGGGAGCTAAAAGGGCCTGGGAAATCTTGTACATCTGTTAGAGCTCGGGGTTAAAACCTAAATACTAGGCCACTAGGCCACAGCTGATGGAGCGCTCCGGCACTTCGACGGCTTTTCGGGGTTTTACGGCTTTGGGGTTTCGAGTTAAGGGTTTAAGGCTGTGGGGTTCTACCTCTAGCCTCCATTGTGGATCCGTTTCGGGTTTTAGCCTCCATTGTGGTTCCGTTTTGGGGTTACCTCATAGGATCCTAACTAAATATTTGGTTAAACCCCCCCAAAAATGGAAGTACCATGGATGGAGACTATATGTATAGCGTCCCGGACTCCACCACTATGTGTATGTTTAGGGGGTTTCGGGGTTTACGGTTTAAGGCTTCGGAGTTCTCCAGGCTGAGATTGAGGGCTATGGAGAAGTCATACCCTGCTTGGAGGGTCGGGGGACTTAGTAAGTGGTTACTTTAGGGACTTATAAGTACCATATCCCCAACTAGGGTCCATTTTAGGGTACTTATAAGTCTACTTACTACCTACTTAGAGTGCTCCGACGTCCGAAGCACTGGTATTTGACAGAGACGCTTTCTATCCCAGAGACTCCAAGCCAAGGTGCCTTAGCTAAGGAATACCAAAGATTCCTCTGGGTGATCTGTAGGGCTTTGGGGTTTGGGGCTTCTAATATCCCATAACTCCGGTATATGCAACAAATTATCGTAGAATCCCTAATATGCTTTGTAATGTATATTCCTTAACTGAGTACATGGACCCTTAGGGTTCTATAACAGGTGCAATATTTTTCTATGATGTGCAGTTATACATTTCTCTAAAGTAGGCTCCGTTTTGGGGGTCCGTGCTATAAGAGTGCTGTACTGTTTTGGGGGACCCCAAAAGGAACTCAACTTTAGAGAACTACCCTTTCTGGCAAGGGACGGAAGACCTGCCCGGAACCTGCAACCTGGTCGGAGAGAGCTCGATAGCCCTAACTCCGCAAATCTGACCCTATGCCTCCAGGGACCCTATTATGGGGTCCTTAAGGGGTCTAGGGCCCTAACTATGAGGTCCTTGGAGGGATAGGGTGAATCATTGAGTTTAGGGGTCTAGGGTTTAGAGTTTAGGGTCTGAATCATTGATGAGACTTGCAAGAAGCCATATGAGTTAAGAGGGGAGCAGTAGCACCCGAAGCAGTGGAGGAGCAGTGGTGAAGCAAGCGCGAAGGTACACCAGTACTTTCATAGTTCTAAGACAGCCGGACATGCAGCCTTATTCACCGTCGCTCGTGAACCTGGGTGTGTCTCAAACGGGCATGGAGGGAAAAACGAAACCCCTAAACCCAAAACCCTACACTCCACACCCCTAAACCCGAAGCCCAAAAGCCGAAAGCCCTAAAGAAACCCTAAACCCTAAACCCTCAAACCCTAAAACCCTAAAACCCTAAACCCTAAGCCGAAGGCCCCAAGAGCGGTGCCACCAGGTAGCCGAAGCCAAACAGGCCCGCCTGTCTCACCAAGGTTCCTCCTCCCAGCATGGCGCCTCAGCTTAGGGCTCAAGTTTAGGGCTTATAATATAGGGTTTAAGGGTTTAGGAGTTTAGGGATTAGGATGTAGGGATTAGGGTTTAGAAGCCCAGGCAATACTGGGCTCTAAAAGGCTTTACCTTAAGTGACCATAATCAGGAAACCCTATTATTTGCTACAGATCCCTATTAGGGTAACTTAAACATCATCCCTATGCCTCCAAGGACCTTACTATGGGGTCCTTAAGGAGTCTAGGGCCCTAACTATGCCCATCTGGAGGATCGGAGGCCTTGGCTAGTTCCTTCAGGGGGTTCTGAGTGAATGAGTATCACAAGGCCAGTTGGCATCCTTCTTTGGGCGCTTATAGCTTTGTAAACTAACTACATCGAACTGAACTAATTAATCACTTACCAAGTCGCCCGGCGCTCCAAGTAAATTCTACTTGTCCAACTTCCACACCATAAACCCTGAACCCCTGAACCTCCAAAGCCACACCGCCCCGAAAGGCAGAACCTCAGAACCTGAAAGGCCTCAATGCCTCAATGCCAGAAACACGAACACGAACAAAGGGTGCGTTCGGTTCGAAGACTGTGCTACGGGTTTAATTTATAGAGTGAAGAAATTCAAGTTAAGAGTTTAGGACTATGGCGAGTTTAGCGTTTGGGAGTCAGGCCTGCAACCCTAAACCCTGAAAGCCCAATAAGCCCAATAAGGCCCGATAAGCCCTGTTAATAAACCCTAAACCAGAAACCCTATTTAGAGGTTCATGGGTAGTTATAAGTAGGGTTATAAGTAGGGCAACTACAGTTGTGATCCATATTGGGGAACTTATAGCCCCACGTATAACTACCCCTGAACCTCAAGTTGAGAGGTGCAAGCACATAGCATGTGTTGAGGCTTGAGGCGCTTTCCCTTCTGGTTTCTGCTAGATGGCTAAACCCTAAAGGGAGTTTTGGTAGAAGCCCAAAAGTTGGAAACCCAACAGCCTCAACCTTCAAGAACAGTGTATAGGGAATCTCAGCACTATCTGGCCTTAGTCAGGTTTCCAACTTTATGGGGTTTACTGCAGGCCCCCGAGCCTGGCACAGCCTAAAGAAACACAACGCGGCCGTGGGGCCCAGTCGTTGGGTGAAGCCAGCGCCGGCCTGGAGAGTCTGCTTTCGAGGCGTTTAGGGCTTTGGGCTTATAGGGTTTAGGGCTTATGGGGTTTAGGGTTTGTAGCGTTTACAGAGTTTAGGCACTTAGGGTTTATAGGGTTAAGGGCTTACGGCTTATGGGGCGTTGGGTTTAGGACCTACTGTGTAGAACGTATTGGGGACCTGTAAAGAGCACAAGAGGCTCGATGAGGATGATACTACGGCTGATGATGCAAATCCTGCATTACCTTAATGACCCTAAACTATGGGAATTATGGTATATTCCTCATTTTGGGTAATGCAGGATTTATATCATCAACCGTAGGGATCTAACGATTGTAAAGAGGCTTCGCAGGTTTTTGTTCTATGAGGGTGCTCTAGGAGCTGATGGGCTTTTCTGGTGTTTCAAAGAGACTTTCTGATGGGAACCGGGTTTCGGGGTACAGGTCGCTTTTCGGCTCCTAAGGCCCTACTTGGAGGGTCGGGGGACTTAGTAAGTAGGTGGTAAGTAGATTTATAAGTACCCCTAAAAGGGACCCTAATTGGGGTTATGGTACGAATAAGTCCCCCTAAAATGACCAGTTACTAAGTCCCCCAACCCTCCAAGTATGTTACAAAGCCTGATAGCTTTCGCATTTGCATTTAGAGCTTCGAGTTCCCGGGATTTCAATCTGTTAACCCTGAGGGCCCATGTACTGATAATGTATAGACATTGGCCTTGATGTAGTCCCTATAGAGATACTTTGGGGCTCATGTATCTCTGTATGGGTACATGGACCCTTAGGGTTAAGATTCAGGGTATAATTGCCGCGGCTTACCGGATTTGTGGTTCGGGAGATTCGGTTCAAGCCTCGGCATCTGAACCGCTTCGTCCTGTGTGTAGCCAAAGGGACTCAGACTTCGCTGTCGGTATGCGCTGCAACCGAGAAGCAAGACTACTAACACGAGCGCTAACATTAATAAGTGCGAAAGGCAACGTGTGCAGCCACAAAATCAAGTTTGGTCTGCAGGCAACACTTTCGTGCAGAGCTTGTTGCGCTGACCGCCTGGCATGAGGGTGTTCCGGGATCGCGACCCGCAACTCTCACTAATTGCAAGCCAACTCAGGGGCTAGAGGAGCCACCCCCTATCAAACCTAGACCCCATTAGCCCTTGAACTTTCCAGTGATCTCTGTCCCGGCCTTCTCGCTGTCGTCTCAGTCCAATGCTCCCGGAAGAATTCCAGGATTGAGCCAAGACTTCACCGAATAAGCACAAACTAATAACAAGACAAAGAATAGCAAGGCTGACGTTGATTGTTTTTCTTCTTCTTATGGAAGTAGAGCTCAAGGAACTGTTGAGCTTGAGCAATCACACACCAACTCTCTCACTCTCTCACTCTCTCTCTCACACTCTCTCTCTCTCTCTCTCTCTCTCTCTCTCTCTCTCTGTCTCTCTCTCTTTCTCTTAGGGCTCTCTCTCTCCCTCTCTCTCTTAGCGTTCTCTCGCTCTCTCTCTCTCTCTCTCTCTCTCTCCTCGCTCCTCTCTCTCTCTCACTCAGTTTGTTTGCCACAATGAGCTTATATTTCGCCAGATTTCGCAAGCAATTTCACACTCGATCAGTCCTCCCTGCGAATCCCACAAACAATCAAAGACAACCCACCACAAAACAACCACAAAAAAATAACCAGGCACACACATCTGGCATAGCGCTCGGCGCTAAACACTAAAGTCGAATCCCTTAAGTTACCTAGCCCTACACCTAAGCCCTAACCGCTGGCCTTAAACCCTATGCCGCAAAACCTAAGACGTCAAACCCCAAACCCATGCCGATCGATCGTATCCCAAATCAAGGCTTCGTTGACCTGTTTAGCGAGCCGGCGGGCTCTGCGTAGTGCTGCGGCACCTTGCAGCAGACCTGTGCATCTTTTCTCCCTGTTTTCCAAAATCTCTTTTTCCTATATGTAAACTAAACCCTAGCCCTAGGCCCTAAACCGATGCCACCACGCTAGAACGGGAGGTGTCGTGGAGTCCAGGAAGCGTTCTGAAGGGTTCGTCAACCACAGGCCCAGCACTCTGAGCCCTACCCTCCCTACCCCAAAGCGTGGATTGAGAGACTTTGCATGGCTCGCGGGGTGTGTGCACGCACGTTTCCATGACGATGCACTACTGTTCTTCTTCATCTCAATATCAACAAATGCTACTAGACTAGTACAGCCACTTTATTCGTAGTCACTACAGTGATCACGTTCATGCTTTCTGGGAGTCGATGGGTTAATAAAAGGTGGTACATCAAGAGATCCTGACACACACACACACACAAACTCGAAAAGGATCCATCTAAGCACCGAACATCTTCCACGCTGAGGTAGTTAAGCTTAAATCCTTGATGCTCTGAAGCACCAAAATCGTAACCCTGAACCATTATACTCGATACCGTAAACTTCGAGAAACGAGGCTAAACTGCGGCTGCCGCCGCTAAACCCTAAACCCTGCCAGCAGAATGGTTTGTGACGGCGAGGGAAGTAACATTGGAGGGTTCAGAGTGTACGGTTCTGGGTTCAGGTATTTCGGGTTAGGACATGGGGTTGTAGGGTTTAGGGTGAAATCATGAGAGATCCGCCCTTATAGACCCCAAATGGTTCTGCCATGTTCTATGGCAATATATATATATATATATATAGATAGATAGATAGATGGATAGATAGTACCCCAAACCTCTATGAATCAGGCCCCTATATTAGTTGGCAATGTAAAGCCTCTGAAACAGTTCCGAAACGAGACCCTCTTAAGCCCAGTAAAAGAAAGCATGAACAGCACCAAAGGGCCTGCAAACCCTACTTGGAGGGTCATGGGTAGCTACAAGTGGGGGAATAATAAGTCCCCTAATATGGGTTGTAAGTATAGTTATCTTACTTATAACCCTACTTATAACTTCCCATGAACCTCCAAGTAATACCTAAAGTTCAGGGTCTTCTGAATTCGTAACCGGCTGCCTCGCTGAAGCCCTGATTCACCAGCGCCTGGGCACCGAAGCGAAGCCTCAAATCGTCAGGACGGTTTAAAGCTTAGGGTTAGTTTAGGGTTTAGGGTTTTAATTAGGCTTTAGGGGGTTTAGGGTTTTAGGCTCTAGGGGGTTTAGGGTTTTAGGCTTTAGGGGGGTTAGGGTTTAGGGTTGGGGGGCCATACTACTCCTAATCAGGACCCGATAGGGTCTTACAAGGCCTTTCAAGGCTACTAGTCAACGCGGTTTCATTGTGATCAAACTTGGGTTTGGTGGTTGAGGGGGTTTCGAGTTTGGGGTTGAGGGCGGGCTTGGGGGTTTGGGGTGTAGACTGAAGGGTTGAGGGTCCTCGAGTTCAGGGTCTGGGGCTTAGGGGTTTAGGCTGAGGGTTTAGGGGCCTGGGCGGTTTAGAGGCTCGCAGCGGGGTCTATAGGGTCAACCATCAGTGTCCTGGCTCGTGTCATTATTGTCGCTGTTCTTGCCCGTATTGGCATTGATGCTACTAATGATAGTTTTTGCTGGAGGCAGCACTTTGGCTGACTGATTCTGTCTGAAGCGAACTGACAGAATACGCCTATAGACCGACAAAATACGGCGAATTACATCGCAGTTTCCGGATAGCGAGCGATTCCTTCGAGTAGAAGCACCCTGAGGCCACAAAACATAATGCCCAAAAGGCCTCCTGCTGGCAGAGGCGCTATGAACTGAACTCAACAAGCAAACGTATCCGGTGTAGTCGTAGGACAAGGATCCCAAAGGGTCCTATGTACTGTTATAGGGTATACTTCCCCAAATCATAATAGTAATTCCTAATATAGAAACCCTACATTCTACTATGTCGTTACTTTGGACCCTTTGGGGATGACAAGAACAACTTGGAGAGTGCTTCAGTT